TCTAAACTTTCTTTCTATGACTTTCTAAATAAATAAATGTAAGGCCAAAAACATTGTCGTTAATATTGATTTTTTTCAATGACCTAAAAATGATTTGAAAAATTTCAAATCAATGTTTCATTCACAAGAAATTTATTGAAATTTATTTTTCACTTTTGCTTTCAAAAAAAACTTGAAAAATATTTTGTACAGACACATTTTCCTAATTTCTTTCACAAATGATTTAACAACAACGAGAAATGCAAGCTTACCTGCAATGCATTTTTTTTGTTGCTTTACCATTTTGTATTTTATATCGAACGGTAAATTTAATGAAGGTAAAATTTAATCGAAATAAATTTTTCTTTTTTATTGCAAATAAGATAAACTGTCAATTCAAGAATGATGATTATGCAATCAGAATTTTACAGTTAGTTTTCTTATTTAAGTCGAAAAAAAATTCTTCAACCCCCGAAGACTTTTTTATTTTGTCAAAATTCTCATCATCATTTTTCCTCGTACTACTATCATCTACACCACCACAGCCACCATCATTACCATTTTTAATATCGACGTGACAAGGTTATTATATATTTCATTCATTCATTCATTCATTCTTTTATCATTGACAAATCAATTTTTTTCCTTCTATATTTCATTTCATTTTTTTTCTGCTTTCTGGTTCGTTGCTGATGATGGTTTCGATTCAGTTTCGATTCGGGAGGGGGGGGGAAATTTTTCATTCATTCATTCACTTCATTTCATTTCATTTCATTTCAAATACCGTATACAATTTTCATTAATATCAAATTCGTTGGTATTGACAATGGCCATGACTATAGTAGAAAAAATAGGGAAAATAATAATCACGACATGAATATACAATTATTATTATTTATATGTAAAATGATTACATACACCTGACTTAAAATTATCCACTATTATTATTATTATTATTATTATCGATATAAATGATCATAATTCTTTATGGAAAAAATTTTCGGTTTCTTGTATCATACATTAATGAATGATAAATAATTATAGGCAAAAAAAAAAAGAAATTTCGTTTTGTTTTTCAATGTTTTGTCAATGAAAATTATCGGGGAAAAAAACAACTAAATGTACCGAAAAAATGTACCGAAAAAAAATTGAACAACTAACCATGGTTTCTGTTTTTTTTATATATTTCTGGTTCGTTTTTTTAAGGCCAAGGATTTTTTTTTTGCTTTCCCGTATATTGTATTGTTGTTATCTGTATGTGTGAAAATTAAACTTGTTGTTTTTTTTCTCTACAAAATTTTCGAATCGATTATGTTCGTTTATGTACCTGAATGAAATTTTATCTCATTTTTTTGGACGATTTTTAAGTATCATCATATATCGGTAGCTATACGTGTAATTGTGATTTTCATTTTGTATTTTTCTTCCGTTTGTCGGATTGAAAATTTTGTTATTTTCTTTTTTTCAGTGGCCACTCTAACTTGAACATAAACTGAATAGGGTGTTGGACAACATGTTGTAACAGAAAAAAAGAAATGAAAATATTTCGTGATCAGGTCGTTTGGAACCTAAAGAAATTCTATTAATCTACACACACAAACACAGGATCAATAAAAGTGAATTGAAGAAATAAAATCAAAACTTTGTCCAAAAAAAGAAAAATCAGAAGAAGAACATTACAATACATCCATCCAATGGAAATATAATTTGAATTCTTGTGGAAATTATAGACTTTTTTTTGTCATAAAATTATTATCGCCAGGAAAATTGGAAAAATAAGGAAAAGAAGATATGGAAAAGTTGATAAATTGAATGAAATTGGAAAATAATAATAATAATGACTATATAAAAGTCTGTACTTTTTTTGATTTGATTGGTAGGTGAATACAAACACACACACAATATTCGGTTGACTAGACTGAACATTGTTTTTTTTTATCCAAAAACAAAAAACTAAACTAAACTAAATCATCATTATCATCATCATCATTGTTTATAGGGAGCTATTATTATTTATATGAATTCTTTAGCCTGTATACGGACTATACATCATCATGAAACAATGAATGTTCCTGTTTTGTTTTGCTTTTTTTGTTTTGCTTGGTTTTTGATTGTTGACTATTTATAAATGTCATCAATTTTTTTTGCATATATGACGTAAATGCTTTTTGCTATTTTCTTCACGCTTGTTATTTAATGTTGTTTCCATAGAATTTAATGAATTTGAATCAATATATGATGATGATGATAATGATAAAGGAATGTGACATTTTGTTGTTGTTGTTGTGAACAAAAAAAAAAGAATCAAATCCAAAGATGTTTTGTTGCTGTTGTTATAATGATAAAATGAACAATTATTGATTTATATTATCAAAGTATTTTCTGCTTCTGTATTTTAATGAATTACACTTTGAACAAATGGATTTTGTTCTTAGCAAAAAAAACCAAAAAAAAGGAATTATCCAAAACTTAAGTAGTGATTTTAATGCGGTGGTCATTATATCATAGTAAAGTTGATTGACCATTTAACATTTTTTTCCCTCTCTGAATTTGAATTTGATAATTTGTGTTGATTAGAAAATAATAACAACTATGGTAATGATAAATCTTTTATAATAAGTATTTTTGGGTTGTAATTTCTCGAGAAACAAAAAAAACAAAATACAGCAAATCATCAGTCACAAAAATAAAAGCTAGGAAATAATAATCCTATTTTATTTACATTGATTTTAATTTCATTCAATTCGATTCTATATTGATAATGATATTCACTATTATTGTTAATGATGATGACGATATCAAACAAACACACACACATAATTGGATATCTCATTGACGATTCTATACAAATAGCTTAATATGTTTATGTTTGAAGGGGGAGAGAGAGAAAGAAAGCTATTTATTTATTCTATAGTAATCAACAACAACGAATATTGAATTGATTCTTAATGATTATTATTGCCATACGATTCAATTTATATTTACCAATATAGCCGGTAGACAATAACAATAATAACAACGACGACAGCAACCAAAATGGTAATTTGATTATATTATTTTTTGAAAAAAAAAACTTTTTTCCTATTTATATTCCGCAAATTTAACCTTTTTTTCATATATGATTGAATTTTATAGCAAAATATCAAACGAAAAAAAACAACATTTTCTCTCTCTCTCTCTACACATATTTGTAAATAATCTTAGCGAAAAAAAAGTGTCGACACAAATCATTATATTAAAATGAGAGAGAAAGAGAGATATGGTTCAGTGATTTTTTTTTGCACAAAAAAAGGGTTTTTTAAAAGAATCCATTTATGGATTTCTATTCTAGGCCAAAAAAACTGAGAATATTTACAGAATACATAGAAAGATGTGTTAATAATAATTCTATACACATTCATTCATTTATTCAATTGATTTGAATCCATCCATCCTAACATTCATTATAATGTACTGTACAATTATTATTATTATGATGATGATGATGGTATACATTATTTTCTTCTTGCATTGTTAAAAATTTCGGCTTAATCTAAAAGGGAAGAAAAGAAAAGAAAAATAAACTAAATAAAGATAAAAATAGGATGATGAACACACACACACACAGACACGAGAATTTAAGTACGTGTGTATACAGAAAAAAATGCGGGGGTTGATATGGAGAAAGAGGTGAACAAACAAAAAGAAATTCAAATGAGAATCATTCATTTGGAAAATACAGCAAGTGAGGAAGAGAGAGAGAAAAAGAGAAAAACATGCACAAAATAAATTGACTGCCAAAATAACAAAGAAAAAAGAAAGCGAAAGTTACCCTTTTCTGATGATGATGATGAAATGAAAATCCGGATCTCCTAAACACTGAATCAAATAAAAAAAAACAACTGGTGTGAATAATGAGAAAAACAATGAATAATGGCTATTTAAACAAAATCAAATTCAATAGATATGATGAATGGTAATTAATTAATGATAATCAAACAAAAAAGCATAGTATTAATTGTTTTTTTTGAAATGGGTTTCTTTTTTTTTGTTGGATTACAAAAACAAAATCAATGATTGAAAATTATTTCGTAATACTTGTTAAAAAGTAAAGAAAAAAAAATTGGGAAAAATTTTCTTAAACAAACATAGATGATAATGTTGAAAAAAAAGGACAACAACAGTAACGAAAATCCCAAACACATAAATTGATATAACATCATGATGATGATGATGATGATTTATGATGTTCATGATTTTTTTTCTTGTTCTTTTTTTTGATTCATTTGATTATACTAAATAGATGAATATTATTATTATTGTCAACATCATCTTTGAATCAATTGTCATTATTGTGATTCACTTTATATTACTTCATCCCGTACGCGTTTCCTGATGTCGTTATTTGAAATGATTTGATATAATAGATGAATTTTGATTAATAGATTTGAATTTCCTATTGTATAATATCGAAAAAAAAGAAATGTTTAGGATGGATGATGTAAAAAAAACTAAAAATGGCCAATTGAATCAAGGCGATTATTATTATTATATAACGACGATCATTTGAACGATTCATTCATTCAAAGTACAAAGACCAGAAACAATTCAATTTGTTTGTTTGTTATGTGTGTTCATTGACTTTCTTGTTTTTTTTCTGGTTGTTGCTAAAAGCAAAAAAAAAGAAAAAAGAATGATGATCGAAATTATGTAGCAATGATCTTTACGATCATAATCATTATCATCATCACTATGAATAATCATGATTTTCATCACAATCATCATGATCTTAGGACATATTATCATATTATCACAATGACAATAATCAATCTGATAAATCTATTCAATAAATTGATTTCCAGTTTTTCTATAAGATAAATTATAAATTTACATTTTTTTTCTTCATTCAGCTATGTATTATCCAATGATATTTTCAATTATCAATCATCATCTATCATTTCTAATAAGTTATACATCTAGATTTTTAAAAATATTGATTATTTTTAATCTATTATTAGTTATGATATTACAATCATCACCATTATCATCATCTAGCAGTGCCATTGTTTTATCATCAGCAAGAAAAAGTTCTCCAATGAATAGTAAGTGAATAATAATAATCATTATTTTAATGAAATAGTATTTTAATTAATATTTGTTTCAAAAAAAAACCAATCAAGTTAGTCCACAAGTATGGCTATCAATTTCATCAAAACCATATCGTCGTCTTGTATTGAATTGGCATCATATTGATCGTCGAGATCTTTATAGTTCATGGATAGCTCTTTACGATGTTGAACCAACATCACAAAATTTTGATTATAATTTTATTGAAAGAATATTTCCAATTACAACCACTGGTAAACATACAACAGCTAAATCATATGAATATTTTTCATTTGAATCAGCATTTTTTAATGATAAAAATAAACGTCGCTACCTCAATGATTTTCTTCGTTCAGGCAATGGAAGTGCATTAACTAAATTATCATCAAGTCTTTGGTCAGGATGTATAAAATATTGGATTGCATATATTCAATATAATCGCCGTATTGTTGTAAAAAAATGTTTACGTACACGACCAAGATGGATGGAACATTCAATGCCATTTATTGGACATCGTTCTGTACTTGAATTAGCATTACCTGGTACACATAATGCTGCTAGTTATGAAATATCGGGTAAAATGAATTTTCCACGTCTTGATAAATATATCTATTGTCAAGATGAATCTGTATGGAATCAATTAATATATGGTATAAGGTATTTATTATATAATGCATTTAAAATATTCAAAAACTAATAATGAAATTTTATTGTAGATTTCTTGATCTAAGATTAGCCTATGACAATGAACAGAAAAATGAACGTGATCGTGTATGGATAGCTCATGGTATGGTCAAAGTAGATATATTACTTGTCGATGTTTTAGAACAGGTACTTGCCTTTCTATTATCAACACATCAAGAGATTATTATATTAGATTTTCATCGTTTTGAAGATGGTCTACAAGAATCATTACCAGATATTAATGAACGTCATACTATTATTGAACGTTTAATTAATGATTATTTAGGAGCATTTTTAATACCAGTCGATTTTGGTTGGAATCGACCATTACGTGAATTAGTTGCATTAAATAAACGTGTTTATATTGGCTATGCACGTGATCATCGTAATCGACAATTTTTTCATACAAACGCTTTACATGTTTGGGCTGGTAGTGATGATTATGGATTATTATTTCGTCATTTAAATGATCGATCATGTCGTTCACCATCAACGCCATATCCGGTATCATTAATGGGTGCATTAACACCAAAATTTTTTGGCCTTTTACGTGACAAATATGATGGTCTACGGTCATTGGCCGAACAAATCAATCATGATTTAAGTTTGAGTGTTTTTGATGAATGGTGGCAATGTATGAATATTTTATGTACAGATTATTTTCTAGGCAATAATATTATTGAATATACAATTGAAGCAAATTTATGGCGTGAAAAGAATCGTCAAAAACATTTACAACAACAACAACAACAATCATCATCATCATCATCATCATATCAAAAAGATGTTAGTAATATTATGTTAAATCTATCGAAATTATAATCATCCTATTAACTAACTATTTGTTTTTTCTTATCAAACAAACAAAAATGTAAAAAGATGCTAAAAATTTAAAAAATAAAATTTAATCTTTTTCTTTGATTATATGGAAATATACAGGGTGTTAATTGTTGAAAAAATTGACGTCATCCACGATTTATATGAATTTGCTTAACAACAAGAAAAAAAAATAATCATGATAATTTGTTTTTCTTTTTCGAAAAAGAAAAAGAGAAAACTGGCCACGAACTTTCGGAACAGAATAAAAGAATAATGTGTACAAAAAAGTTTTTTTTCATCCATTTGAAAAAAATATGCAAATTATTTGTATGTAAAGCCAGAAAAAAAGTCAAAAAAAAAAAAATCAATCCCATTCCATATGGTTTTAATTTTCACAATTATCATCATTATTCTTATTCAGATTAAGTGGAAAACATTATAAAGTGATTTAGAAATTCATTGCAACAAAGCCCGAACAAAACTTTTAATTTCGGATGAGTATCATCAAATCAACAAAACAGAGAGAATGAAAATGAAAAAATTCGAAAAACCTGTGTGTAAAAAAAAATTACATGGCAAAATGTACGAACGTGTTTGCCATGCATTAATGACGATTAATTGGATTTTTCTTTTAGCAATTTATTTTTTTTTGCAAGATTTACTTTATTCACAAAATCAAATGAAAATATGGGCAACAGCTTGCTAATATTGTGTGTTATGTTTGTTCCCATACTCCGGATTTTCCTCAACGAAACAAAAATAAACAAACAAATGAAAATCCGAAAAGAATTCCATTCACCTTGGATACTGTAAATGGAAATATTTAAAAGAAGAATAAAGTATTTAGAAAAAAAAACTTCAATCTAATTGTTATATCCCCATTTGACTGAGGATATAACCATTAGAATAATCTGAGGTTAAAATGGTGTTGTTTACAATTCGAAAAAAATGATCAACATAATTTCGATCCCCAATTTATGGCGGAACTAGCTTCAACAGCTCACCAGCACCGACCTTCTCCTTTTTCGCCGAAGAAAAATATTGTAAGGCGCATTGGCCAATCACACATGCATATCCACATGTGGATCGAAGCAGCATCTTTTTGGAAAATGGGTGAAGAATTTTGATTCAACGATAAATGGTAAAACAAGACATTTTTCCACATAAACGCTAATTCAATCATTCGCAATAGCAGATTAAGACGCCATCTCTCGTTTGTATTTGAAAAAATTAATCATCATATCTTATCCCAGTAATTTTTCTCAATATTGAAAAAAATGATCGGAAGTTTTCCGAAAATTTTACACGTTGTGTATAAATATTCTATTCATGACTCGTGCATGTTTGTGTGTATGTGTCTGTGATTGTGTGTCGTGTCTTTGAATTTATTTTGATTCATTCATTCCCATAAATATTTTTTTTTCCAGAAAAAGAAAATGCCATATTTTGAAAATTGGAATGAATTTGCTTCAGCAGCCGAAGCATTATATTTGGAGAATCCATTACGTTGTCGTCTAGTAATGAAATATCGACATAAAGATGGAATATTAATTGTCAAATGTACTGATGATAAAGTATGTCTATTGTATAAAACAGAAAATTCACAAGACATAAAACGTATTGAAAAATTAAATTCCCAAATGATGCGACATATGACCAGTGATGAAGATTAATTAAAATTAATAATCGTAATTATATCGCCATAATTCATCGTTCATTTATAGCATTGTAAAATTGTATTTATTTTATTTTCCTACACACATTCTTTTTATATATAAATCAAAATGAATGTATTCTTTTCTTTATTTCATGTTTTCTTTTTCTTTTTTGCCGCTTGATTTGTAAATTGATGGACAAATGAAATGATTTTTTTTATCAATAAAAAAATACTACTATATTACAAAACGATGATAGAATGATTATCCCCTTTCTGGCCATCTACATGCACCATCCAATCGTATTATTTCCCCATTCAGCATAGGATTTTCAATAATTGTCTCGACTAGTTTGGCAAATTCTTCCGGTTGACCAAGTCTTGAAGGGCAAGGTGTAGAACATTGAATGAATTCTAATAATTCTGGTGCATTTGATCGCATTACTAATGGTGTTTCAAAAAAACCGGCAGCAATTGTATTGACACGTATGCCTTCTTTGGCCAGATCTCTGGATAATGGTAATGTCATAGAATTCAATGCTCCTTGTGTAGCCGCATAACCAGTCTGCCCTTCATGGCCTTCCCATGCCAATATACTTGATGTATTTATGATAACCGATTTTGTTCCATTTACACCCATTGGATTATTAACCAACAATGGTATCGCTAATCGAATCACATTGAATGTACCATAGATATTGATATCAACTAAATCAAGAAAATCTCGTAGCCGTTGAGGTTTTTGTGAATTAAAATTATACAATTTAAATGCATTGGCAACGCCAGCGCAATTGACTAAGATATTCAAACGTTGTTGGCCATCGTTTGAATCTTGACATAATTTCAATGCTTCCATTATATCAGCTTCTTTTCTGATATCACCTGCAAAGATAAACCATTTAATCACTTGTGAATTGACATGATGGTAATCTTTTTCGTTTTACCTTTTATTCCGATAACATTATCAATTTTTTCTTCACTTGGCTTCAAATCGATTGTTATTACACGTGCATCAAGTCTCGCTAAATGTCGACATACGGCCAGACCAAGACCAGATCCACCACCGGTAACAAATGCTGTTAATCCTCTAATTGTATTCAACAACATTGTCATAACTAAATTCAAATTATTATTTTAACAAATTGCTAGTTTATATACAGTATTGACAATATAAATTGGACAACACATGGATGGCTAAGGTAATCGATGTTGAACAATCGATAGTAATTTTTTAATTGCTTGCATAGACATTTGTGATGATTCGAAATTGCGCTTAAATAAATAAATCAAAGATATCTATAGATATTATAATAATTTTATCTATATATAAATAATAAATTTAGTTGGGAGTGTTTCTTTTTCATTCTCAGCGACATGACATCATCGTTAATTGATGAACAATCAAAACTTGTTGTATATAAACCAACGATTCATCAACGACAAAAAAATAAAATTTCCATCATGTATATAATCAAAATTATATTAATGATTCCTATATGGACGACAATATTAGCTCTGGATCCTTTTTCAATAACTGGTTCAATAATAGTTGGTACCGGCATGTATTATTTTAAAGATTCATTAACATGCATGGTGAAAGAATGTTGTCATGACCATACGAGTAATAAATGGATCGCTAATCGTCTAAAGTGGTCAGATCTTCCTGAAGAGATTTTTGGTCAACACATTGCCATCAGTGTTGTTAGTAATTTGGTATATTTTCATCTAAGAAATCCAAATCCACCTAAACCATTAGTACTTTCATTCCATGGTTTCACTGGCGTTGGAAAAACTCATCTCAGTGATTTGCTAGCGAAAAGAATTTATCGACAATATAATGAAACTGGTTCAAGTAAATTTGTCCATAAATATACGGCCACACATTTGAACAAAGAAAGTCAACTAAGCATGTTGGTCGAAAATATTTTCGAAAAACTTGAAGCATGTGATCGCTCATTAGTTATAATTGATGAAATCGATAAATTACCCGAAAAATATCTTGACATATTATTACCATATTTAGACCATTCATCACCATATAAAAAATCCATATTTATATTCTTAGGGTAAGTAAATTTTTTTCAATTATTTCAACTAATAATTACATTGTTCTATAATTACAGAAACAGCGCCGGCAGCAATATTAATAATGAAGTTGTTCATCTACTTAATTCGGGTAAAGCCCGTGAAGATATTGAATATGATGATCTCGAAAATGTTGTCACTAATAATGCTGTTAAAGTAGGAGGCCTTAAAAATTCAGAATTGATTACGCGCGGTGTAATCGATCTATTCGTGCCATTTTTGCCGCTTTCAAAACATCATATTCGACAATGTGTGGCCGATAATCTTCGCCGTCAGCACGAATTTCCTGATCCATTTATTAATCCAGGTTCCAAATTTATTGATAAAGTAACAGATAGCATTGAATTTAAGGATGATGAATTTTCCGTTTTTGGCTGTAAGCGAGTTTCATCAAAAGTTGCCATTCTTTTAGCTAGAAAAAATCGACTATAATAAGGAATTTGAATATTGTTTTTGTTTTATTTTTATTTTAAAAAAATTGTCAAAACTTTTTTTATATCACAAAAATTAAAATTATAATTTTGTTTGTTGAATGAATTCGTATATTATGGCAGCAAGTTTCTGTTTCGATCCTAATCCGTACAATGATCGATGAAAACAGGATCGATAGCTTGGTATATTTGATTCGAAATGATCACAATCATCTAGTATTGGTGTATGAAATAATTTTAAATCCGGTTCGATCGCTTTCATCATCATTAATTTCTCATTATTTTCGGATATTCGATTATTATATTGTATGAATAATCCATATAAATCCCATTGTGTATCATAATAAATATGCTGATATTTAACTAATGATTGCCGATTTCGTATGATCGGCATTAATGTTTCCGTTTGTTTTCTCATACGTATATAATCATGAAGATAGAAAGAAATTATCTGCCGATTAGTATCATCAAAATAGCCATTATCTTTGCGAACGTCGAAATAATTCATGAATGATTTGATTCCTTTGAATGATTGTTCACCCATAGTTAATTGACGAATGGATAAATTGAATTTTTTATCCAGTGTTGAATGTTTACGGAGAATTTGTTCAAAATCTTGATTCGATTTATTCGTGCGTAATCGATATTGAACAAAAGGCAATGGAATAAATATCTGATTATCCGGAATTGTATTGACACGTACACGATTTAATAGTTCAGCTGTGAAGATCATATTACTTCGACAATGTAATAATAACATTGGTTCGCTAGATGATATGGCAGTCAATGAACGTGTGATGAGATCCAGATATGATATTTCGGATGGAAATCTTTTCCGCGTCAAGTTTAATGAACCGTCCGCAACATAAACTGCGGCATCAGGGGGTATGATATCCATGAATATAATTCGAGGTGAATTTGCTTGAAATTTTGTTTTCAAATATAAAGATACTTTTTTCAATCGTTCGAATTCTTTTTTTTCAAATTCAAGCGATGAATCGATCGAATCATTCAGCGTAATAAAGCGAGTATATATGAGTACGATGATTAACGTGGTCTGATGATGGGGATTTTTCAGAAATACATTTGCATAATGATTTAGAAAACCTATGGCTACGGATACTTCTGCATGACCACGAACAGGTAATATCATTGTAAGTTGTAAATTTTCATTTGCATGAGGCGGTATATCGGTCAACAATTCAACTGGATTCAATGGTTTTAGAATTTGAAAACGATATGAAGATTTGAATGGCAATGATTCAGATTGATTCACAATTAAATCAACAATATATTCATGGCCACGAACTGCATCAAATTTTTGATATAAATTTTCAATGGATAAATCTTGTAAAGCAACTGACAGCTGTGGTCGATGACTATTTAACCATTCTAAACATTGGTTTTTAACCTGACTGATTTGTTTCAAATCATCTTCATTCAATTGACGAATTAATTGAACATCATTCGGCAAAAAAATATGAGTTTCATTTGAATATGACCAACGATTTATTTCATAACGGTTTCGTGGTTTACGAGATTGAAAAAATCTATCGAATGATGAGGAATTCGTTACGGAAATCATTCGTTGTTCAATGGTTTGAATATTCAAATTCAATCGATTTATACTATCTATTGTTATGAGTGTTTGTATAATATTGTAGATATCGGATAGAAAATGAACAGGATAAATAAAAATTGAGTCCAGAATTTTTTGTTCATTCAATGAGATCGATTCTAATGATTGAGTATTGAAAAATGATTTATGCCAATAATAGACATTACCTCCGATATGTTGATTATTTTGTTCAATTCTGTCTATATAACATGGCCAATCATGATCACATATTGATATCAAAGTAGAACTGATTAAAAGGCCATGATTTAATATATGATCATTGTGGCCAAAATTTGTTGCAATAAATTTCAATTTTGAGTCTTCAGTTATTGATGATGGAATATCATTAGATGTAGAAAGAACCAAATCCGATACGGACAGAATTCGAAGATATTGTTGAAGATTGAATGAATGTACCGAAGTACTTTCGGTCATCATTAAAATTATAGCATATTCATTCAATTTTCGTTTTTCTATTAGATAATCCATTATTAATACATGGAAAGGACGATCATAATGACTTTGTGACCATACATCCAGAATTTGATTAGCTCGATATTCAATAATTATATGACTATTATTGATATTACCTGTTGATATGTCTGGATAGAAATAAAGAAGATTATCACTAAAATCATTCAACATCAATTCACTAGTCTTGTTTATATAATGTTCGATCAATTGTCGATAATGATCCGATTTAGATTGATTTTCATTTCTTGCTAATGATAATTCGATAAGGAATTGTGGCCTAATTACCACACAAACTAATAGCTTCATTTTGATATTCAATTCAATTGAATGAAAACGAGGACGATAAAATTTAAGTTTCTTATCTCTTACCATACTATTGATGGCTGATTTTTGTTGATTGCTCATATCAAACTCATTTGAATTTTCATCATTGATTATGGTGGATTTATTATGAATTCTTGGATTATAATCTTTATCAGCCATTTCACGATACCATTTTTCTAATCGTACAAACAGATGATAATCTTGTCGATTCAATTTCAATACCTGTATTGATTCTGGATCATTTTCATCATCATTCAATGAAAGCAACAGGGAATTTGGTTTTGAACAATCTTCTAACATTGGCATGAATAATGATGATAATATAATGCCAAGTATGCAACCGATAAAAAAATATTTATTTTTACGTAACAGATAATAAGCTGGTTTCCAACATAATGATTTCATTTTCATTTTTATAAAAAAATATTTACATTTTTATCCAAATTAACGATTTTGATTCAATGATGATTTTGAATGTTTTGATTATTTCATATAGAATCTTCATGGCATTAATTGAGCACATTATATTGTCTATTAAAATCATTGAGAATTTGATTAGTTGTTGATACGGAAGAATTTGTAGCGGCATAAGGGGAAAAAATTTCGGCGTTTTTTTTTGGCAAACCCAATTAACAGATCAATCCATGCAGTGAGACTTCAGACACTTTTTGTTCCGATTCAAGTATTTGTGATGATGAGAATATTTTATAATCACAACAAAAATTCTACATTATATAAACAGACGTCAAATTCAGACATCGAATCCAAGGAAACAAACAATTTCAATTTGTGTTGTATAGTAAATGTATGGTTGGTAATTTTGAATGACTCATCAATCCATTATATGAATTCAAGCAATATTTCATTCTGTTTCTGTTGAAAATAATTATCATTTTAAATAAATGATCATGATAATAATCATTATTGTCGATGATTTCTTTCACATGCAAAGGATAAATATTTACAACAATCATCAACTCAACATGTGAAGATGGTTGTGGTGGTGGTTGTGGTTGCCATTGTCATTGTCGTCGTTATTTTGGTCACATAAAAGACATAAGACATATGGTCTGCATTTGTTAGAGTATAATATGTTTATTGTTGTTTGAAACAAAAAGAAAATGGAAAACTGGTAATGATTAAGTATAGTGACTGAATACCCAACATTCTCATACAAACATTTTGTCGTCGTAATGTAAGAAAATTCCATTTGTCTGAAAATCATCAATACAAATCATTCGACAGTTTCCGTAGTGATTTAAATCAAGAGAAAAAATTGATTGTCGCGTAAAGATTAAATGTCATATCCGGGATAGAATGTAGGAAAAAAACCGGACTTTCATTGGAATTTTGATACATTTTATCATCATTAAAGTTAAAATAGTTATTTTTGGTCAAGAAATTTTTTTTATTATGATCAAATTAAAAAAAACAAAAGAAAAATGAAAAATATAATTATTGGAAAATGAAACAAAACAATTAACAATAAAGGAATTGGAAGAATTTGTAAAAACAAAAAAAAAACATCAATTTTTTTCCGGAAAAAATAATGTCCAACATGTTTTCATATCATCATCATCAATGTTCAAACAATTTGAATTTTTCATCTTTTCAAACATTGATTCATCATAAAAATAATTGACAAAATTTCGAAATATTTTCTCCATACAATCCATATTTGCATCAAAATCAATCAATTGTGCGCCAATACAGATGATAGCTAATGGAAATGATTTGCAATCACCAAATTGATTTAATGCTCGCAATACACGACTAAATTGACGACGTGATAGATAGATTTTTAATGCTGTTTGTTGATCATAATATCGTTTCGATGAGATCAAATAATCACACCAACGGCGCATAATTTCCGTGCATTCATTGCCATCTAGGCTTGACTAAAAATGAAAAAAATTAAAATTATGAAAAAAGTATGAAATATGATTACACACCTTTGCCAACCAAATAGAATCGAACCATTGATCCGAACTTTGTAGATAACGACATGCATCGGATGTTTTCGATATGATTGTCAATAATTCAATGCCTTCAGTTATATGACCATTAGCAATAAGACTAGTGGATACTAATTTAACAACCGGTGCAACTTTGGTCTCATTCAGTATCATAGATTGATTAGAATCATCATTTTCAATGCTATTATCCTCATGAGTTTGTTGATTACTACTATCATCATTTTCGGTTAATGAACAATTCTCAATAGAATAATCATCACCACCTATCATTGAAAATTTATTTTCTTTTATTTGATTACATTTAGAATTATTATTCGAAGTTTGTTGTAAAGCAGCAATCAAACAAGCTTTTAATGAATCCACATAGAAGGATTGTTTATCCATCGAATCATCAATTCGATTTGATTGATTGAACAAATGTTCACTTTCTAATAAAACCTGTACAGCACGTTGAAAATTTTTCAGATTCAAATTCATTCGGTACACTTGATTCGAATGGAAATAAGTCCGTCGATTATTTTCCAATAGTAAAAGCTTTTCTTGTAATAATTGTCGAAAATTTTGATTATCAAGAAATAGATCCATACGAGAATCAAGTTCTTCATCGAGTAATATGGCGCTAAGTAATAGCCAGAAATCATAATCATTTTGATTGGAAAATAATTTTGCCAACAAAATTTGATTATCAATATATCGACGAATGTCGACAATCATTTGAGATTCATTGTTATTTTGTCGATATTGCTCGTGATCATCATTATTATCATCTCTATCATCCGTTGACATAGGCCGTTTTTTAAATGGAATTTCAAATAAATATTTTCGTATCAATTTTTTTCGCTGATCAAAAGTTAAAAAATTTATATTTAATTCTTCCAAACGAAGTTTTGATAAATCTGACGGATAATTAGATAAACGGGAAATACTCAGCGAAGATGAATAGGTTTTTAATTTTTGATCAGTTATGACAATAAATCCTTCGGCTGTAGCAAATATAGGTAGATCACAACTAACCCAATCAAGATCAATGATTTTAAAATTAATATCTCTGGGAAATTTTAACTGAGAACATAGACGAAATTCTTCAATATCCCAGATATCGACACCAAAATCAGCATACAGTATTAGACATTTCATATTATCACGACCAGGACCAAAACGAACTTTTTTAATACAACTACGATATGTAGCCTCGGTTCGTGAATTGTTCCGTTTCAGATCCCAAAGATTAAGCGTACCGGATGCATCACCAAACAATATTTGATCTCTTTTCCATGCTATACTGGTAACGGTAATATTTCCGTTTTCAACATCGGATGGTATCCTAGCTAATTCTCGTACAATATTACCTTCGATGGAGAAATGATATAATTCACGTGACATGGCAATAAAATTCTCTTTAATCGGCGATGTATGAATCAACGATGATGATGATTTTATTGATCCAGTATCAGAATCACTACTCATGTCAGTAGCAAGAGTATTGTTTTTGACCATTTGTTTACGATTATAAAATGGACTCCATTCCACGGCAGTCACAAGGCCGATTGATTTGGACATAGTACGCAATATAGTTAATGTTCGTACATCCCATATTTCGAATGGATCATCACGTTTGAATAGAATAATAAGATATTGTTCCAAATGTGATACACGTATTGTTTCGATTGGGGATGAATCAGTCATATGATTAGTACGAAATGAAGTCAACTTTCCAGTCTCGATATCGATATGAATCAATTCATTTGTTACTTTTCCGGAACTACTTCCCGAACCAGTTGTCAAATTGTGTAAGGCACTTAATGGATGTCTAGTGTATGAATGCACCGGTGATGTTATCGTTGGATACGAAAATGTAATCAAAGATGTAAGATTTGCCCATTCAACACCAGCAATAGCGTATGAATGTGCACAAAATTCACGATGTAATGTTGCCGTATTATTATCCAATAACCAAATCTGTAAAATTCCTAAGCTATCACCAACAGCTAAAAATGGTCTATGTTCATTTAGATTCTGTAAAGTTAATGGTGGTGCCATTCTTATGACGGTTGGCATTGAATTTAAGCCACTTATATAATTTGTCACAATAATTTTATAAAGAATGGGATCGGAAACAGAACGTAGCTGTTGACTTTCATTGCCAATATCATCTTCATCATTAATATCATCATTGTTATTAAGAAAAGCACCAAGTTTATATTCTTGAGGTTTGATCAAATCATTTAACGATGGTAATGATAAATTTTTGATGATTGAAGATTTCCGACAAATTAATGATTTAAAAATGATTCGACCGGTACTTAATAGGAATGCTACTTTAGTCTCATCAAATGGTGATAAAGAATAACCAAAAATTTTGTTTTGTTTGGTCAACCTTATAGGTTCGGAATGACAAAGATTCACATAGCCGATGTTTAAGAAATTTTCCTGATTACATAATTCATCCGATCGATGTGATTGATCAACTTGATTGGAAATATTATCGCGAATAATTTTTTTCTGATACAGGCGGAATGATACGTTGCCATTTTCATGCAACGCAAAAAATGAATTTCGAAGACCACAAGAAAAAATTTTAATTAAACGGGAAAAATTTCTTTCGATTGGTATGGTTGTGATTATTATTTCCATTGACAAATCAATTAAATAAATATCACGTGAAAATACGAGAAAAATTTGATTTCTCATTGCTTTATGGAATTCGATCTGTATTAATTGATGATCATTATTACTTATAGGTGGTGTATTTACGATTGTCGAATTATTACGAATACCGGTTGATGATTGTGTATAGTCATTGATAGTGATCAGATCATTGGTGACTTTACTTTTATCTAGCCGTTGTATTAAATCAAAATAACCGGATTTGTTATTTATCTTTTTCAATACATACATCATAATAGGCAGATTAATTTTTCTGGGTTCTTTTGATGTTTTATCATTTTCTTTAAAATGATGTTCATCCAATCGAGCCTGACCAAGATAGATACGATCCGAATGTGTTGAACGAAATTCGAACAATAAATTTGACATATTTGTATTACAACAACGATTATAATGGAAAAATGGATTGAAATGTATTTGCGATATCAGACATTGTATTTGCCATCGACATATTGGTTCACCTAGGTCAGCATCATAAACAATGATCGTATTGTTATGAGGATAGAATGCTAAGATGTAAAGATTTGTGGCCAAACAGGTAGTGATATTATCATTGCTTTGGAGATTATCCTCATTCTTAGATTTTTCATCGCGACAAATATTACCATTATTTTTGGGTATAGGATTTTCAAAATCAACTAAATCCCAACAATTAATTTTCCCGCTACTCGGGTTTGATAGTTTGCTATCCAAATGAATCCAATGAATAAAACTAATGGAACGATTTTCAGTAGTTGATAAAATGACTGTTAAAGGTGTAGATTCAATCACATCCCATACGACAATCATACCGATTGTATCGATTGAACATAGACAAAGATGATTTGTCAATGGTGACCATTTAACCAAGCAAACAATATGTTTGTGCCGATGTAAAGCTATTGTAATTAAAAAAATACAATTAATACAATCATCAACAAATGAATAAATTCAAATCACTTTGACGAAATGATAATGTTGGCCGTGAATCGATAATAACCACAAGGTTTTGACAACCATATGCTATTAAACCATTCGATGACCAATCCAAAGCGCCTGAGTTTTGTGCATGTAATATGCCAGGAATGGTTGATGGAAATAAAGTATAACGATATGATGTGGATGATTGAGAATCGATGGGAATTTTTGGTGAAGTCAAAGTAGATGAAGATGTTGATGAGTTTCTTTGTAGGAACCTTTGCTTTTCATTTTTACTCGATTGTTGTTGAGTTGTTTCATGATCATCTTTTAATGATTGTTCTTCGGTAGTTGTAGATTGCATTTTTTCATATAGAATTCATGGAATGAAATTTCCAATTAAAATATCAAAATTGGAAAAAATTGGAATAGAAGAAAACAATGATAATACTGAATGGTTGCAGTTGGCAACGGTGAACTCGATGATAAATATTATCTCCACCTTTGATTATTTTAGTTTGTTTTGAATTTGGTCTCCTAAATATTGTTATCACCGTTAGGGTGAGCAATGTATTTAATCACATATCTATAATGTGCAATATAATCATTAAAAATTCAATGACGATCACGATTAATATACTAATAGCACATTGGCCAACGAAGCAATTTTGTTGCACTTTAAAATTTCCCGTATCCGTAACAAATAAATAAATGTATAATATTTATTCATCAAATCATGATACACTCAAATGATTTTCCGATGACAATGATGATTTGGCAGTAAAAATGAATTCAGAACCCGAAAGAATTCAAAAATACTGTTTTTACATCAAAGAATCTAAACAAAAACAAAAAAAAATATTGGAAAAAAAATTCAACAGTTTTAGATTTGGACATTGTTCATAAACGACATGATAAAATGGAATTTTAAATTAAAAATTCAATAGCGGGAATAGTGAAATTTAAATATCACATTCTTTTTATTTATAAATAATCATAATTTATTAGAATCTGTTTCATTATCAACAATACTATTGTGAATAGACTAATGATTGTTAATAGTAAATAAGCCGAATATTTCGATATGTATTTCTCATTCAATTTACGATGATGATCATCATCATCATCATTGTCATCAACATCATCGTATTCATAGTAATCATAATCGTCATGTATTAATTGTCGTTGAAATCGAGAATTCAATTCATCCGTATTATCATCAACATTATGATGAACAACATCGAAATCATAATAAGTACTTTGATTTTCGTGTTTGATAATGCAACGTTTTTTAAACATACATTTTAGAATCATTCGTTTATTCTCTTCCAATACGGATACTAATCGTAATGATGTTCGATCATCCAATTTGGTTGGCATAATTGGATAATTATGATAATCAATTGTTCGTTCCCATCGATAGGTTGTATTATGAAAAATATTTAATAATAAATTAAATTTTGGACGTATCAATTTTCGTATAACAATAGTATCAATTTGATGTAGGGAACAATTTTGTATGAAACTATAAAAACGATTTGTTTGATCACTGTTAATATCACATGAAATAACAAAATGTAAACGATTCTTATCAAAATTATTTTTGTTATAATAATGACGACGAATGATCATTGTTGCATCGTTGTTGTCCAATCGTACCAAACCATTACTCGATCGATCCAGATTCCATAAACGTTTCCATCCTATTTTATGAATTATGTTAGTGTATCAAAAATGAATAATAATGATGATAATTTTATTATTATAATCAACATTATACCGATTCGATTTCGAATAGGCCAATGCCGAAAATGTCGTTGATAATTTGAATTATTATCATTGCTTAGATATACTAAATTGGACATTTTCCACAATGGTCCACGAAAATGATCCAATGTAAAATGAATCAATATGGAACTTGATTCATGATGAACAATAGGTTCTTTCTTTTCATCTGCAATGGTCAATTGATGTGATAAAATTGATAGAAATAATGTGATTAATAACCAGAATCCATTTGATGACATTTTTGTTGTTGTTTAATTTTTAAATGATTTTTTCATATGAAAAAAACGACACAAACACATTTTTTCAAACAATTGTTTCAATACGATAAAACAAATAATTTATGAATCACAAATCCAGCCAGTATTTTTTATGATAACGATGATATTTTGATTATCATCATCATCAGTAATCAAACATCAGATATACATGATTCGGCAGAAAAAAAATTCTTCGAAAACAATTCTGGTACATTATTTGAAAGTGTGTGTGTGTGAATGACATCATCATATGGCTAAAGATACGTGCCATTGTATAAATTGTTTGAATAATGGATAAATTGAATTTTTCTTTAGTTTTATTTCTTTTTATTATGATTAGTATTCTTCAATGTTTACGAAAACCGAAATACGATATTACATCATTTGTTTAGGATAAAAAGTATTTGAACAAGGTGACCGAACATTCGAATTGAAAAAAAATAATTAAGTGATCTTATCTTATTATAATTATCATTGACAATAATCTTTAATATTTAACAACATTTTTGATTACAACATTGGCAAAAACATTGTTGACAACGATAACATTTCCAATAACAACAATTACACCATTCACATTCGAATGGTGCACAAGCACAGCATACGGCAAATGGTGAACATAGCCATGATTTACAACGGGAACCAGTTGATGGTTTTTTTCTTATAACATTCGATGGTGAAATTGGACGTTCCGATGGTATCGGTGTTGATGATGCAATAGGTTGCGGTGGTGGTGAGGATGCTTTAAGTATTGATTTTCCGGGTTGTATTGTAATGGCCGTATTATTGTTTATATCACTTCGGTTACGATTTTTTTCACGACCACTTTGTTTCTTAAAACTTGTTTTAACTTGTTGTCCAGTTGAACCTTCTAGACCTTCGATTGTTGTATTGATGATTTCAATTGAATGCTTCCTTTCACCTTTATCCAATGATAAAAGATTTGATTTTGTTGATTTTCGTTTTTGACGTTTATGATCATCAACATCGATGTCGGAATCGGAACTTGAATCTGAACTTGAGCTAGTATCTGGTTTTTTTGTCTTCTTCATCGACGATGATCTATTCGGATCAATGGATTTATTTTGTGGCCGATCATCAGTTATTCGGACAGCATAATCTTTATGATGATTGTCGTCATCTTGTTGCGTACCTTGTGATACTTTGATTACTTTGACATTTTTTCGTTTTTCATCAACACTATCATCCTGACGTCTATGGAAAGAATCAATATTTTCATCACTATAATCATCATCGTCATAATCATCATTTTTTCGTTGATTTTCTACCCTAATCGGTATGATACGTTCACGTGGTGATGTGGAACGTTCATTGATGATTATGGTCGATGTTTTTGATTTATTTGATGCCATTATTATTCACAATAAGTTGAAAATTCTTTTCATCACAACATCACAAAACAAAACCAGTAAGATTATATGAGTGAAAGCAACGAGCAGAAGGAAAAAATTATTATTTTTATCAATTTATTTATTCAATCATTCGCATTTTGTGTGAATAAAATTACACAAATGAATGATTTTTACACCAGCTCAAACGAACGATAAGCAAACAAAAAAAGCCAATAAATAAACAGGTAGGCACAACATTTTTCAACGATGCAAACATTCGATTAATGATTTTTGTTTTTGTTTTTGGTGGGCAGGTGTTACCGATTATGGACGTCCAACACTAAATACAATCCTCAATCAAAAGAAGAATCAGAAGCCTATAGGAAAATAAGAAAAAAAATGACCGAGGACATAATGGAGGTGTTGTTGTTGTTTATTATTTCGGTTGAATATACGATACGATACTATTAGGAATGATATCCAAAAAAAATTGTCATTTTCTTTCGGTTTAATACTTAAAGATTAAGATTGGATTAAGATCCGACCATGAATCTTGTATGAAATTTGTCGAATTGGGGTGTTAGAAAAAAATTGAATCAATAAAATGATCATTTCCTTTATTCAAAATGAATATCATTTTTTTCATTTTAACAAAAACCACACAACTATGTTAGAGTAAAGCTAACATATTCCAAATAAGGAATAATGAATGATATTCGAAGGTTTTTCTTTTTGAAAACAAATATTTTGGACGAATTTGGGCATAGAAACATCAACACACACAGTAAGTGGCAATGCAATCAATGTCTTGATTATCATCATCGGTTGTGGCCATCAAATCAACAAAAATAACATTGATTTGTTGAAGAATGAACAAATTCATTTCAATCATTGATGATGACATCGTATCGATAAACAATAAAAAAAAGTATTTCAAGTTTTCATCAAAATAAAATTTAATTATGATTTTCGAAAAAACATTCGAGCAAAAAAAAACAAAGAAAAAAATTTAAATTTCTTCTTACAATTTTCAAAATAAATAAAATTAAATATGACATATTTAATGGCATCGTATAATTATTATATAATAAAAAAAATTCTTCATCATTCTATAACATAGGTTTGTTGTTTTTTCAATGCTTGAAAGATGATGATAATTTTTTCGAATTTATCGGTTTACTGTTACCAACCATCATTGTTCGATGATTTTGACGACGATGTTGTTGTTGTTGTTCGACTGTTGAGAATAGATTAATTAATCAATAGAAAATTAAGATTAATCATCAGCATACAGACCTATTTCTTTTGTCAAACTTTTCATCATCGATTTTGATGATGGCGATGGTGATTTGTGATTAAGATTTATTGAAATTGATTGATGAGGTAGTGAAAATTCATTAGTATTTTTTTCCATTTTCTGTACTGGTACTACGATAGCATGATTTGATTTATTGATAAAGGATTCGGTCATTCTAGATGATCTGGATGTTAATGAAAATGAACGACGTTGTTCGAATGAAACATCCGACATAGACGATGATGGCAATTTCATTGATGAAGGTCGTTCTTTTGCCACTGTTGATATGATTATATTGGCAGATTCGACTGATGATTGATTCGATATTCTACTATTTTTTGATTGATTTTCAAATTCTTTATGTATAGAATCAGTATTTTCAACATATTTTGATGGAGATATGATTGCCGTTAATTGCTGAATATATTGATTCAGCAATGGTTTCTTCTTAAATTCAAATAGAAAATTACGATTTGGTTTTGAATTAACAGTCTCTTTTACATTAGATGACGATTTAATAGATTCTCGTTTTTGATTATAATTTGTACTACATTCTTCAATCGTTATCTTTGGTGGCTGTTGTGATTTCATATCAACGCTAGAGTTCAATGATGAATCAGATGGATCTTCTTTGCTTTGATTTTTAATTGTACGACGAAGTGGAGAAAATCGATTAAAAGCTGAAACAGTAGTCGATGTTGAATCTATCAATGATTCAGAATCCTCTTTTGATTGTATAATCACCCGTTCACGTTCATTATCTGAATATTCATTACTGTTATTCGTTCCACGTAAGCTACGTCTACCAGAACCAATGCGACGAAATTGAGTTCCAAATAAATTTCCATCAATGTTAGTACCAGTACATTCTCGATCCTTATGTGCAGCTGATTTTAAAAATTCTACTAAATCTTGTTTGGCTGCAGAATCAACATTTGAAAAATCCTGAGAACATGGTCGTGAACTACGTTTCATTGATGAACAGAATTTTGTCGTATCTGAAACCATGTTAACATCATGTGATCGAAACATTATTCTATCATTATGATGTAATGATGGTCCACTTTCAATCAATGATGTGTAAGAATTTTCCGTACATTGTTGTTTTTGTTGTCGTGCACGAACTTTTTGCTGATTTTCATTTCGTTTACGATTTTCTTCCATTGCAATTTTGAATCGTTGTACGAACGCGATAAATATCTGAAAACATTGTTCTAATTTGAATTGTGCGACATCTTCACAGAAAAAATCAGCAACTTTTTTTCGCAATTTCTCCATATCATGTTCGGTCACTGTTTGAAGACAATTGATTTTATGTTCAGAGATCGTTAGGAATTGGCTAATATCTTCAAACAGATGTTGATCTTCATCATTTGATTTTTTTATGTTGAGTTTGGATTTTATGGCCGCGATTTTTTCCGATAAAGATTTCACTTCAGCTTTTAGGTTATCATTGGATATTCTGCATACAATAAAACGTTAATCACAAGCAAAAACAAAAAAAATTAGCAAACAAACAAAATTGGAATTAGGGTACAAACACAACTTACTTTGATGCTTCAATCAATGTTGGTAATTCATCATAAAACGAATTTAAACCTTTTTTTTCGGCTTGCTAAAAGTGACCCAAAAATCCAAAAAAATAACAGATAAGTAAATAGATAAAATGAATATATTTACCATAGCCACATAATGTATCATATATAATCCTGGTTTATTTGAACGAATTTCGGCCAATTTTTGTAATGACATGATTTTAAAGCCAATAGCATCACCAGCATAACCACCCTTGAATATTCAAACAAACAAATAAATAAATAAAAGCAATGAAAGATTTTATGTGAAAAAAATATCACACTTACAAAGTTAAGAAAATTGCCAGATATAAGAACCAATGTCAATATCTGCCGTAATTTATCACTTTTCATTAGTTCGTCGGCCGCTTTACTCATATATTGTGTTGATCGCTCAAGTATAGGTATATTGGCATCATATTCTTCCCGTAATAACATAAAATCAATTTTTAACCGATAATGATTGATAGCGATTAATTTAATTAAAAAACGTTCGGCTAAAGGAAGACGATCACGAATCATCGGATCAATCTGTCGTAAGGCAGCCATTTCGATTTCATCCGGTAATAAATGTTTCAAGCTTCGAAGTCGTTCAAGACCTATTTGTTGATGATTATTTGTGGCAATAAGATTGATCACTTCATCTAAACCGGAACCTTTATATTGTTTTAGGAAAATGTTGACACTTAACGATCGTTTTGAATCGAGTATAGGTGCTAATGGCATATCGAAATTGATGGTGGTTGAATCAATCGAATGATGTTGCTGTTCACTACCATCATCAATCATTGATTGATCACTCAATGATGCCGTATCTAGATTACTGCCATTCATTGAATTATGACTTGTAGCACTGCAACGACGTGAAAATCTTGGTGAATTTGGACAAGAATTTGATGTGCTTGATGTACAGGAATTTTGGGGCTGGAGACAATGAACACCATTATTGGGAAGAGATTGTTGACCACCTGTTGAATTGATATTATTTGGACTATTATTATTACTATTTGGGGTGATATAAGGAAGACAAAATAGTTCTTCAAGCTCATCAAAATCGACCATTAGTTCGTCATCGACGGATTTGGATAATGAGATCGGGCATGCTTGATCATCGGTTTCTTTTTTTCCTAATGTATTTATTAATTTTTCACCAATCATTTGCCAGACATTAGTCATATTGCTATCGGTCGACCCGGATGTGATCGGTATTTTGGATATCTTGGTCCAATTAATAGTTTTCATTTTTAATCGAGGTTTTTGGGGTAATAAATCGGCTGTTATAAATGATTCTAATTGTTTATCTTGTTGAGGAATGAACGGTATTATTGATGATGAATGTGAAGGTGGTGGTAGGGGCGGGGGTGGAATTGGCGATTTCGCTTTATTCAAAGAACAAGGAGGGGGCGGAGGAGGAGGTGGTGGTGGCGGTGGCGGAGGAATAGACGGAACAGAATTCGAAGGCATAGGTGACAAGGTTGGAGATGGAGTTTGGATATTAAGGTCAATTCTATCATCATCATCATCATCACCGATTATTAGTGATGATAATGATTGACTTGATAGTGATGATAAAGATGAATCAACACTATTGTTAGATGATGAATTTGAATCTGATTGATCCATGTAACATCTTGATCGTGCTCTATTGGCTATATGATCTAATCGAGAAGCATACCAATCGAATAATTTGTCATTATGTTGCTGTTGATCATCATTATCATCGATCATTTGATCGAGCAATTGATCACCAAATTTATAAATTAAATGCATAATTTTTGATAAATTATTTAAATTAAATGAATGTTTCGATGAATTATTGAGATAAATTTTTCGAAATAATTTAAATAACCAATCGGAAGTATTGTTGGCTAACAAAATGGTTCGCATGAGAAATAATGTAACAACATTGTCATCATCTAATGATGATGATGATGATGACATTAGAAATTCATTCAATCGACTTAGATCTAGATATGATCGACATTCATCATAAAGTTTTCCATCATTCATTGACGTTGATTGCAATAAATTTTGAACACATCGATCTAAATTTGAATCGATTTGTAACCTAAATTTAATCCATTTCAAAATATTTGGCTGTAACCGTTGTAGATGATTGATTAGCTCAAGAATAGATGTACGATAATTATACCACTTGGTGCTGTTGTTGTTGTTGATGGATGGCATTTGAGTGAATTCATCAACTAAAATATCGATATATGATGGTGATGAAGTTGATCGGCCATTTTTGCATCGTAATTTGGATATCTATTTGTCATAATAAAACGAACGAATGAATGAATGGATTAGTTGTAGCGTATATTTGCTTGCCCTATGGGGTTATTATTATTTATTAATAAATTTTTATGTAAAACAATTTCAACAGGATAAAACAATGGAAACGATCATCATCATCATAATGATGACCACATGTATCGGTATTCATTATTATTGTTATGATGATGATGAAAATGAATATTATGAAAAATGCCTAACCCATAGAAATGATTGAAAATCTAAAACGGCGCCCTGTCTGTCTATTCTCATATATAAGATTTTTCTGATCTTTGATTGAAACAAACACACACAAAAAAACACGTATGTTCGAGACAATTAATTTGATTTTCTTTCACTTTCATTTATATATGAATCATTGGGTTTCATGAAAAAAGCCTTGTTGTTTTCATAAAATTAAAGGTGTTGATCAAATATATTACATTGGAGAAACAAAAATACAAACCTGTAATTGTAATAATATATCCATAGTATGTATAAAATTTTCGAAATTTCCATCATTATTATCTGTATACAATTTAATATTTCGACACCATTTACATAGATCCATTATCAATCGATGTTTTCGATCTAGATGTTGTTGTTGTTCATTATCGAAAAAATCTATGAGTAATATGACCGGAAACGAAATTCGAGAGAAAAAAGATAAGAGTTTGATTTATGTTCATACAATTTTTTAAAAATAGTTATTTCCGATGAAAACTTACATTTGATTATAGTATCATTCGATTCATTGATCATTTTGATTTGTTTTGATTTTGATTGCAACGATCTTTGTGTATCGAATTTCGATTTTTTTATTGTCGAAATATTTTTTTCTTCAATATTTTTATCCGATGTAATTGCCGTACGTATTGTTGATCTGGTCTTTGTTATTGTTGTAACTGTCGATGTTGAACGTTGATGTTGTGGTTGTGTGGATTTATGTATGTTCGATTTCGTTGTTGTATTCAATGAATTTCGAATAATTCTTGCTGATGATGTTATTGTAGATGAATTTTTAGTTGCTGTTGACGATGGTGATATTGATGTACAACGTTGTTGTTGTTGATTACGTTTAACCAATGGTGGTTTTGTTGCAATTATTGTCTTTTTCTGATTTAAATTATTATTACGAATATCGGCCATATTTGATTTTGCCGTTACCGGTATTCCAGATGATGATGATGAGGATGAGGATGATAGTGGTGATGGTGAAGATTGTGGCTTTGTTATCATTTTATTAGTTGTTTTTGTTTTTGTTGTTCTTGTTGTTGTAGATGATGATGACGCTGATGACAATGCAATCGTTTCATTATTATTTAACCTCATTGTTGACAGGATAGAAATTCAATCTATAGAAATAGTGATTCGAAAAAAAAGAAAGGGTTGCAATTTTTGTTGAGACAAGTTTTTATCATTAGGATAATCACCTGCAAAAAAAAATTAGAAAAAATGATAAATTAATGGATGGAGTTCAGGTAAATGGTTAACAAGGATTCAAATTATTAGACAATTTTTTTCAAAAAGAAAAAAGAAAAATTAACCTTGAAACGAAAAATTTTATATTTGTTGTCAAATGATGATGATGATGATTAAATTGATGTTTGAATGAATGGTTAGTAATAGTCGGAAATCACCCACTACTGTATTTAATTAATTCAAATTATCTAATTTTGTTATTTGACTTTTTCTTCTGTTTCTTGTCATTCTGACCTTGACGATGATAGTACACTGAAAAACGAAAAAATGTGATTTCAGGAAAAAAATATTAAGAAGAAAAAGGATTCCCGTTTTTTTTGGCTATGTGATATGTTTAATTGTGTGTGTGCAAAAGCATCTAACAAACATTTTTTCTTTCCTCTATGTTCGATCGGGTCGTTGACAAACCAGTAGAGGAAATAAAAATTCCGACCATCAAGAAAAAAATTACGTTTTTTTTCGGCAAACATACGATTTTCAATATCATCATCATAAATGTCATTGTAATATGTCATGATGTGATTATAGTTAATCCATAATAAAATCCATAAAAAAGATGAAAAAATTGCATAATCTAAAAGGTACTTGATAGTACAAAAAAAAACTTAATAATATCCATTTCTATGTATCAATTTATTGTTAATTTCACCAAAAAAACATTGTTCGAGATGAAACAAAAACTGGAAAATTGAAAAAGCAAAATGTTTACCTCTATTGAGAAAGGTAAAACAAAAAAAAATATTATTCATTTCATTCAAATTTAATTTAGTCAAAAAAAAAAATACATTCAAGGTCATGGGATCTAAAATAGCATCACAACATCAAACGATGACGACGACGACGATGATGATAAATGATCAATGATGAACCGAAATTAGCCGAAAAAAGTGGTATTAAGTATTTAAAAAAACGGATAATTCCATTGGATTTAATAATAACGATATAATTACTATATAGCAACGGATCTTTTTTCCAAAAAAAAACATTTTATAAAAATAGGTGTTTTTTTAATCCTCATTTAAAAAGGAATTATAATCATTATCATTATTAATCGATAATCGAAAAGAAAGTTTTAGAATCTAACACTCACACCTTTATACAACCTTTATCTTAAAACTATTTATGGCTATAATTTATGATTAGAAATAAAAGTTTTTTTCTTATAAATTTCAATTCATAAAAGAATTATCCATCAAATAAGGATAATAAAAGACCACGATTTAGCCATGTGATAATCAATATTGAACGAAAAATAAAAAATAAATTCATTTTTGTCAACAACAGCCGAAATAACCGGTGAATCGACTAATCGATTTCGAAAAAAAATTCGTTCATCCATTCATCGAATCGAATCGAATATTGGATTCGATAAATATAGACATGAAGAAAATAAAATATCTATGGTTAAGTTGGGTCACGAATTTTGGATTTTTTTCCCCGTTGTTTTGTTTTGATTATTATTATTGTTGTTGCTGTTTGGATTAGAACGCTTAAAACAGAGTAATAATATTGATAAAATTCATCGATTTATATCGTGTATGATGATGAGTATTGGGAATGAATTTTTTTTTTATTTTTTGATTTTCTTCAATAGATGAAGACAAAAAAATGAATGAATGAATGAATAATTTTATCACAATCGATCTAAATAATCTTACAAATATTTGATCATCATCATAATCACTTCATCATCAATCTCTTAATTAGATTTTTTTTCTCTTATGATCATTAATGATTTTGTAATCATATCATTTCGTGTATTGAAATTATTTTTATGATTAATTCTGTATATAGTGAGAACAAAAGAAACAACAATAACAAAAATTACAATAGAAATATTGATTGTAATCAAAAATTCAAAGATATTTTTTCTTTTATTATTGTTCAAATTTAATTATTTGAAAAATATCAACAATATCGATGCAATTCAAAATTTGATTGATAACGATGATAAAATCATAATTTATAATCAAATGAAATTTTTACATTATTTCATTCTATATTGAAAAGCTATATCCAATATGATTAATTTTATTTCGCAAATTATCATTGATTCGGGTAATAGAGATTTTTCTCCTACCATCATCATCATCATCATTCAAAAAAATACGAGGGTAATAAATCAACCAATCAAAAAAAAAGTTTGAAAAAATTATAGGCCAAATATGTATGAATTAAAATCACGGAAGCAAAATGTAAATTTGTTTGAAAATTTAACTCGACTCACATAGACACACATGTCGAACATAGATTTTTTTGTTGTTGAAATGGTAATAACAAATGTGACCGAAATTTTCTTCAATATATTGCTGCTGCTGTCAAATTAAAACCAAAAAGGAAAAAAAAAATTTCTTTCATATTTGGGATTCGGGTTTCGAAATTGCCAAATCTTAATTTTTTCTTGTTTATCAGATGTTTTCATGTCAATGTCGCACAATATTCATTATTATCATCATCATCGTCGTCGTTCAGAAGACCTTCGATGAAAAAAGGGAAAAATTCTTTCTCATTTAAGCAAGACAGGAAATCGATTTGATCATTAATAGATTTGTTTTTGTGATTTGATTCTTTGTTTGGTAATTGATTTTATCATGATCATCATTTTCAATAATGATGATAATGATCACTTATTCGATTTCCATTTTTTTGTTGTTGTCAAACATCGTCTATGAATAGGACCGGGATAAAAACCAGAAAAAAATCGAATGATTTTCGAATGTTGTTGTAATTCAAGGATTCGATTTATTCAATTTTTTTTGAATTAAAATGTCTAAAATGGATAATGATCATTTTAATAGTGATAATGATGATCATCATCAATCAGAAATTCAGTCAAATAAATGTCGATTATTTGAACAAAACGATGAATCGAATGAACGATCATCACCATCATCTTTGATCGATGATCAAATAATTGAAGAAATTTTGGACAATATTCTAGCTCATAATAATCTTAAAAAATTATCACTTGATAAATTGTTTAAAAAAATTAATGAACATTTAAATGATCAATTTGGACCAGTTGGATATCGAAAACCGACACGAATAATGATTATGAAAATGATCAACAAACGATTAAACCGAATGACCAGAAACGAACTGAATGCCATTCAAAGTGGATCAACAAATTTTCCAACGCCATCATCATCATCATTGATAGAAGGAATGATATTTACAAATAACAAATTTTCATTGAAACAATATAAGAAACGAAAATTGTTTCAATTTGACAACGCTGTATTTCAATTGGACTGAAAATGAAATCATCTTAATACATTCAATGATTATAAGATGAAAATGTTTCGCTAGATTCAAAGTCTTATGGAATATTGATATCTCTTTTCAAAATAAAATAATAGTGATCTGTTTATATAAATATTGAAAACGTGACTTTTTTCTATCGGAAAAAAATTGTATCTGGTTGTTGTATTATTTCATTTATAGGCAAAATATCAATCTGATTACATTCCTTCATTTATAATCAGATATAAACACACGAATTATCGTCATCAATATTATTTGGCATCAATATGGTGTCAATAAATGAACAACAAACGAATGAACGAAACGAACTAACCATCCATCCAACCAACCAAACGAAAGAAAATGCATCCATAATATTGAACAAAAACAATAACAATTTTTTTTGTTATTGGTTTGGTTTAATTTGTGACTCATTTCGTTGGTTAAACAAAAAAGAAAAAAGAGCCGTTTATCAGGAGAAATTTGATGTCAATGTATTGAAATCAGAATTTTTTTACATCATTTAATGGATATAATTAGGTAAAAAAATAATTCTTGAAAACTGAAAATGGACACTTACTTTCAACCAAATAATTCATGATAAATTGAAATGAAAATAATGATGTTTTTTTGAAATTATTATGAAATTTCAATTCGATATAATAAGATAGAAAAACATTTCATCGAACTCACACACACTGGCCACATGAAATGATGATTAATTTAAACTTAAATATAAATATGAATATTATATGCCAGTGACAATGACAATTGATGATCATGATCATCATCAAGTAGAAATGTGACACAGAACAATTATCATTGATTTATTATTGATCTACTTATTCATTACATTAACAGGAGAATATTTTGTTATTCAATAAAAAATTTTCAAATATAGAATTCACAATTCGATAATGTGTTGAATGGCCGATGTTCAACAGTTGAATGTTGTTGTTGCCGTCGTCGACAACCAAAAAACAACAACCATCACCATGCTTCAAATGTGTGTATATATCTATGCATTCATGTAGCACAAAATTTTGAAGCTTTTCTCTTTTTCTCATGTGAAATCAGAGATGCATCACCATCATCAATGATCATGATAGGAAAAAAGAGTCAAAAATAAAACAAGAAGATTGTTGTTTTGAGAATTTTTTTTCTATTCAAATTTTCATCATCATCATCATGATCGTAAACCGATGAATGAAATGATGTAATGTGACAAAGGTGAGAGAGAATCGAAGTTTGTTTGTTTGTTTTTGGGTTATAAGCATTATCCGGAAGCTATCATAAGTTCGGGATAATTCATAGTCGATAAAAGTTTTTGTTAATATTTAAAATACTGAATTTTTTAAAATGAAAAATTTCATTTCCTTATCAAATTCATTAATTTTTGTTTTGTATCATTTGTTGGTTGAATTTTATTTTATTAATTTTTTTTTGTTCAATCAAATAATCATTAAGCATCATTTGATTCAGGGACATTATAAATTCATGCTACCTGTTGTTGATCATTTGAATCATCTTTCACAATATTTTTTGTTGTTGTTGATCCAATGTCAAAGAATGATTGATAAAATAACATAAATAAACGAAAAAAAAACATCAATCAATTTCGATTTCATTTTGTCAGCAATATAGATTTAAATGAAACAAAAATTGAATTCAAAATCAAAATTTTTAACGATCAGGAGCAAAAGGCCAAATGTCAATTATTAATCAAAACATATGTCAATCACAATTGTTCACAATTTTACGAATTGAATTTTAAAAACAAAACAAATAATTAATAACGATAACATTGTTGAACAACAACAAAAAAAATAATCCAAAACATCATAGATCACGAGCATAAACTTTGACCTAATTTAGATTACAGTGATTTTTGATTTTTCTGTTTACATTATTATCATCATTATTACTATTTTAGCATATTTCCAATTCATCCTAATTAACCTTGGTTGTCCAAGCTAAAATTGAATTGTCATGTTATCAACATGTTTTAGATTTGAAACCATATTTGAACATTTTTAATCAATTTAATTACTTTGAATTTGTTTTTTTTTATTTGAAAAATTTCGTTGACATCTACATCATCGACAATTGATTCCTATCTTTATATTTCGTTTTCTTAAATTTTTTCTGAACAAAAATTCATCTACATTATCCAATACTCTGTTTTTTCTAATTTATTTGTCCAATGATAATTGCTTCCCACATTGTTACTATTGAATAACACACACACAGAAATTATTTCTTATTTAATTTTCGAATCCATGGTCAATCATTGTCACATCATGATATCATCATAGTCATGAAGTAAAATAAATTTTAAGCTACTGAGTAGAAAAATAAAATAAAATTTCCATTATAAATCTGATAAAATTGATTAATCAATCAAAAAATTTGTCAATTGAAATACTCAGGAAGACGAAATTCATGAATTTCATCAGACATCAGATGGTCAGATATTTTGAGATCATTTTTATTTTTATTTTAAATTAAATGAATGATTCAGTTAACCATATATCTATCAATGATGATGATGATGATGATTCAATTTGACATTGGAAAAATGATAAATTCAAAGTAATTATTGCGTGGAAGCTATTTATTTACGCATATTGAGTATATACCAAAACCACCACCTCAATGACCATCATGATGTCAATATTAATTTCCGACAAGGAAAATGAATCATTCTTGAATACAATTTATGTCCGGTTCAATGTTTTATTTTCGTATTTGTTTCTGAATTTCATTTCCCATTTTAACTTCTTTTTTTTCTCCTACACATTCAATCAACAATCGAAAAAATTTCATTTAAAAACCTTCTATTTTTGTAATGTTTATGTTCCCATTTATAGTAAACTGTTTTTTTTGGCCAGCAATTTATCTGTCATTTTTTCGAATACATTCAAAAGTCATTGAGGAAGAAAATTTAAGCAACAACAAATCAAAAACAATATTTATAATTTCATCATTTGAAAGGATTCCAACAATTTAAGATAAGAATATTGTCTTTTATCAAAAGAATCAAACATTGTTCACACTTTAAATAGATCCATATGATTATCAACTCTATTCAATCAACAAATCTCTATTGGTAATGAATAAATTTCACAATAAATTTTTCCCAAACAATGTAACTGATCATCATCTTCCATTCTATTTAATTCTATGGAAAGCTAAAATGAAACAAAAAAAAAGATGCATCATTTTTTTCGATTTTCATCATCGTGTGATATATGTGTCGTTTGAATAATGGCCGATATGGTGTTGATTATAATCGAAAATCATAAACATCATCATCATTATCATCGACAGACGACAATAAACACCATGGTGTTGATGACCTTGTGTCTTATAATTTTTTCACTAATGATAAATTTATCATTATTGCAACAATAAATATGTTGATCATGTTTATATATCGCCTACGCTCTTACACTATATTTATATGTATAATCAACAATAACAACAACAAAACAACAGCAAAAAAACATTCGTTATGTCATCAAATGTGAATGATTTTTTACATTCTTTTTATTGAAAAATTTCACACTTAAATCTTTAAGGAAAAAAAATTGCTGTAATATTTGAATCATTTCAATTCTTTTTATTTTTTTGATTGAAAAGACAATCGTGTAAATATAATTGTCTCATCATCATTGGTCATGATGAACTTTCATTATCATTATCGGACATCTTATGATTAGACACGTTGTTGAACTTAATGATAATGATGTCTATTTGTAATGAATGAATAATGTGCACGATTTTTATTATCTTATTTTAAAATTCAAACAAACAAAAAGAATTTTATTTCAAAAAAAAAACAATTAAACATAAAATAATGTCTAATTGTGCTGTAATAATAATATGTAAAGATAATTTATGATGTTGATGGTGTTTTCTCCAGATTACTTTTATCATTATCTTGAAGATTTTCTGGAAAATCTATTCGCAATGAATGGTGTTCAGGTAATGGTTTTGACCAAAGGGTATCACGAAGTGGTTTAGGACGTCGTTTTGTATCTGGATATGGATTCGGTACATTTAATGGATGAACATCGGCAGATATTCGTGGCCATTTAGGTCTATCGAGATCGGCATTGTTATTGTATGGTAAAATAGCCGATGATGCTCGTAGGCCACGAAAACGGCCAACTTGTGATCGTTTACGAATAAGTGTTGATTTTAACCAATCCGGTGTATTTGGTGGATGCGGATGTATGTGTGGAAATTTCGGTCGACCTTCATAAGTTGGAAACATTTTATCCGTATCATATGATTCCATAGGATTTATCGATTTTAATCGTTCTAATAGAACTTCTTTTGATAGATCTTTTGGATTACGGAAAGCATCCAAATATCTGTCATCAGAAATGTTAAATGATCACTTAAACAAGAAAATAATACTTTTTTTAAAGCACTTACAGATTAAAAGGAGCTCTTCCTGGATATTGTAGTTGATTGAATTGTGTGGATTGTTTGGGGAAAATATATTCATATGTTGGACATCGCATATCTGAGAAAATGAAAAAAAGGTCAGCAATAATTCTTTTAAAAAATCTTTCGAAATTATTACTTAGAATATCATGAAAAATGGATTTACAATAATCACTCCACGTGGTTTGAAACCAGGATAATCCAATTGGTCTGATTTGAACATCAGAATTCATCGACATAAACGATAAGCCATTAAATTTTCTTCGGCCTAGATCAAAATCTGTTATTCTTTCAAATTGATGAATTTTTTGATCAGATTGAAACAAAACGAATGCATAACGATGATAACCAAGACCACGAATAGCATAGACAGGAAGATAATCGATGAACGTGTCATAAATGGTTTTATCACCATCACGACAAATATTCCCAATCATCCAATGACAAACACCAGAATCGGAAAAATGAGAATCTAGATTGACTAGAGCTAATGTGTAAAAATTTAAATCAGGTTTCTGACCACTATTTATCGTGACCAAATTGGATGATGTGGGCACTTCGTTAATATCAAAATCACCATCATTTATTCCCGATGTATTGATAAGAATTTGAGGTGGTAATCGACCATATTCCGCAGGTATAAGATTACCCCGAAATGATTTTAGGTAAGTAATCTCTTCGTCTTTGTTGCTTTGATTATTGGATGATGAGAAAATAGCCGTGATTGGTACTAACGGACTAAAATGATACAATTCTCGGTGTTCTAATTTGTGAAATTTAACCTCATCCTTGGCATTGGCTGCAATCAAATCCTGACTGGTTTCATTCATAAATGGTTCCTGAAAGAATAAATCACGATATATAGCATAGTGATGAGCGAGTTGAATGGTTGTTTCAATGTACTGTCGAGTGAATGGATAATATGATGATAATTTATCATAATCTTCACGTTCCAATTTGATATCCTTGCCATCATCACGTTCATCAAATTCTTCATCGTTTTCATCTGTCACTTTCGAATGCTTCAAAACAATATTACCGGCTTGATTTAGAAAACTTTGATATAGTTTTGTGCTGTCATCGAAACCAATATTTTTTGTCCGAATCGGATTATCATAATAGTTTATTCTATCGAGCTTTTGTCGTATAGTTTCATATTCATTTGGAGGTTTATCGGTGATCAATTCTTCTAAACCGACTTCACTTGATGAACCAGGACGCGAATGTCGTCGACTTAGACTACAAGAACTATGTATCCATCTATAATTAGATCTAGGACCCAAACGAATTATCTTAAACATTTTTTGATTTTAAAAAAATTAAATTTAAATAACAAAATCTTCAACATATGCTTCGCGCCATTCATAAAGAATGTAAAATTGTTTTTTAAAACACAAAATTTTTGATACTCAATAATCCAAATGTGGCTAAGATCCAATTACCGATTCAGAAAGAAAAATAAAAAGGTTTAGATCATTTTTTTCTAAGTGAATTTTATAAGTGTAAAATTTCAATAAATTAATTGACGAATTTCATGAAATTAAAATTGAAAAACAGTTTTTATGAATGGTAATATTTTTTTTTGTCATGCGCATCGCGTGACACTGAAATCCACGCTGTTCTGCCACACACACATTCGATATCCGTCGTTTCCTTTTACGTTTGCTTTACGTTCGTGTGGTGGTCTCAGTGTTTGTATGGTGTGGATTTTGTTTTCATTTAGTTTTTGTCTTCGTATCTGATTTGTGATTATCACGATGAGGTAAATTTTTCATAATGTCAAATAATTTTATATTTAATCCGACAAATCATTTAATCATTGGGTTCGTCTAGTTCTTTAGGATTGCAAAAACGTTTGGCTGCTGCCGTTCTCAAATGCGGCCGAAATAAAGTTTGGCTTGATCCAAACGAAAACAGTGAAATCTCCAATGCTAATTCCCGACAAAACATCCGTAAATTGATCAAAGATGGTTTAATCATTCGAAAACCAGTAGCAGTACATTCACGTGCCCGTGTTCGACGTAATGCTGAAGCTCGTCGTAAAGGCCGACATACTGGCACTGGTAAGCGCAAAGGTACTGCTAATGCTCGAATGCCGGTCAAAGTTTTATGGATTCGTCGGATGCGTGTGCTTCGTCGATTATTGAAAAAATATCGGGAAAACAAAAAAATCGATCGCCATCTCTATCATGAATTGTACATGAAATCCAAGGGTAATGTTTTCAAAAATAAACGTGTACTCATGGAATACATTCACAAAAAGAAGGTTGAGAAATTGCGCCAGAAACAATTGAAGTAAGAAAATATTCTTTTTATATCAATCATCATTCTAATATAATTTTCTTTCTAATAGTGAAATGGCTGAACTTCGTCGACAAAAAGGCAGAGAACGTCAAAAGCGTCGGGAAGAACGACAAAAGACGAAATTGCAAGAGGCTAGAGATTTGTATCAGAAAGAAGATGGTGGTGATAAATAAATTGGACGACCTTTTTTTGTATTTTTATGGACAATTTCTAAAAAATTTCAAAATTTAATATAACCATCAAATTTGAAAAAATGAATAAAAAAAACAATTTGCGATCATAATTTTTAAATTTTTTATTATTACAATTTAACATATAATTATCAGAGAGGTAATAATGATGATAAATTTACAGATAAAAGATATTTGCAATGAATTATTTCAAACAATTCATTGATCGACCATAACCGCCCCAAAAACTGAGCAAAACCGGTAACAATATTAATCCATGTAATGCACCAATAATGACGATACCCAAATACATACGGAAATAGAATATTTGAAAAATATCTGATGGTGAAAATGCCAAAATGATGATGCCGAAGAATTTTGTCATCGTAATACCAGACATAACTGAACTACCCATTTCGGCAAGACCATTTTGTGCGCGTAATACGCTTGTCGGTTCATTCGATAATGCTGTAGCACGGGCAATATGTGCACAGAATTCCACGGATATCCCAATACTCTATTGGATGAGATATGATTGTATTTTAATTTCAACTCATTATATTTTTAAAAATTACATACCATGACAAGATTAACTAATGCTACAGCATTGAGTGAAATTCGCCAAAAATACATCAAACCAAACATATTTAATATGATACTTAAAATAGTACCAACAATGGTCAATGATGTGATCAAATCAAATGATAAGAATAGGAATGTAACAATAAATATGGCCAACAAAGCGAAAACAATATTTTTCAATGATTCCGACCAAATGGTTAGATATTGTTCATAATAAACATAGAAAAAACTATAAGGAAATACTTCGACATCCGTTTCTTCACTGTTTGTTTGCATGATCAATTCTCTAAGCGCATCAGTAATACTTTCGGATATAATACGTGCATTCTGCAAAGCACGAGTAAAATCTTTTGAATGTTGTAATGGAATGTGATAGGTCATGAAATATGATGATTCAATTGTTTCGCCTTTTGTTCGCTTCATTGCATGTAAATAGCTAGGCCGTCCACTATACAAGATAAAACAATGAAAATCATTGATCATTTGTTGATGTTTTGATCTATTTTTATATTTACCCTTTAGCACAAATTGGATTCGGTATATCGTTAACGAAAAAATCCAAATACGGATGATAGAAATTCTTTGGTCGAATACGTAGACGATTATTATAATTATGGCACCAATCATCAGGCTCATAATCATCGGAATCTTCACTGCAAACAATATTGCACGGTTGACAATCTTCCGATTTGACTAAAAAATGAGTAATCTCGAATAAGAAAAAAATTTCATATGAAAAACAATTTAGAATTACCGGTCGATGAACAAAACGTTCCATTTGGAAAGATTCGACAACATTGGTCGGAATTTGCCCAAAGTAGGTAATCATCGATCCAACTATTAGAAGCACCCGGTACTAAATAACTAAGATCAGATTTATTAGCTGCTTGTGCCAATATGTTAACAATCGAATGATCGGAACAGCCACTTCCCCCACAAATTAGATTCTGATTTGCTGAATAATTAAAACCGGAATCACTTTTGATGACAAAATAAACCGGTGGGCCGACTTTGAGTTTGTGGATTTGAGCATCGAAAAATTTCAGAACGTAAGAATCGGATGGCATTGAATATCTCTGTTCGAGACCAACGTCGACTTTATGTATAACAGATATGGAAACTGATAGCCAGGCAAAAAATATAAGCATAACAGCCAAACGAACTGAACTTTTCATCAGGAATGGAGCATAAATTTTGCTAAAAATCGAATAAAGTAAACCATCATTTTTATGATGATCATTATTATGTTCACCGTCTGAATTCGATTCTCGACGTGATTTTTTTCCCTGCCTACAGTATAAAATCTCCCAACGATTGTCATCATGTCGACGAATATCCCATGCCAATATAGGAACAAAAATTAACATTTGAAAAATAAATGCAATGGTTAATGCTAAGCCAGCATTTATAGCAAATATTCGTACGGCTGGCATAGGTATTAGAGAGCCAAGAAAGAAACACGAAGATTCAGCAACTGCAGCCAATAGAATGGATGGAGCGACACTATACATTAAACGTTGCATTCGATGTTCTAATTGTTCTTGATAGCTTAAATTATTTTGTCTTGAATGTTCATATGGATTTCGCTCTGAATGGCGAACCAATAAGAAAATATTATCCACACCAACAGCTAACACTAAGAATGGTATTACTTCTATTATGATTAATGTGGAATGTACACCACAATAACATAGTAGACCGATCGATGATACAACCGATAATAATACGATTAATACGCCAACTAATCCAAGAACAATTTTCGAATCAATCTAATCAATCAATTATTAATGACAATGTAAAATGAAATAATTTAATTTTCTTACCAATAATCGATGAATGTTTCTAAAATCACCCAATGAAATGGTTATGTACAAAAACATGACAATATAGCTGATGGCAACGGTAAATTTGTTCGAATTGCTTAGTCTATCTAATTCGTCTTCGATTGATCGCTGAATTTAAAACAAAAAATGAATATATAGATTGACAATTCAATTCAACAAAAAATTAAATTACCTCAGAATAGTAAGCAATATCAATGATTGGATCATCGAATTTAGATAATAATTCCAAAAATTTTTTTTCCCATTTTAAAGCATTTACATTATTCTTATCATCAATTGCATTGTTAAGAGTCAATGTGAAAACTAAAGCTTTCGCCTTATAATAATCATGACCATCATAATCAGCTAATGCAATGTGTGGAAATATTGGACCACCATAAGGAGCTAGACAGGAAATATCAGAACTTAAATATAATGGATTCGATACACATTTTTTTAACTTTTCAAGATAAGTTGCTTCATTTTCCAGCTCTTGACGTTGATTTTGAAACCATCCTAATGCCGATTGTACCATACAGACATTATTTTCCATTGGTGAATAGCAAATATCTTCGACTCGTAATTCGATTCCATTGTCATCTTCAATTGTTATATTCATAATCTGTTGTTGTAGGTCAAAAAATCGAAGTAAAAATGTTTGATTATAAACTGGTCCAAATTCAATGTCATTTTTTTGAAATGTTTTCAGATTTCTGGGTGTAAGTACAATGTTTTCCACACGAAAAAATGGATCAAAATTTTCATCAAAAAATTTTTTCTCTATTCTAGCACGACTTGATTGAGTAGACCACAATTCAATAGGGTTGGTTATCGCAACAAATTTTGTTAGACCAGTGGCCAAAATAATTCCAATGACCAAACCAATAATTGGTAATATAAAATTGTACGGTTTTTGAGCACAAATTCGGCCATAATTTCCAAAGGCGTTACATAATTTTTCATGAAAAAGTGATTGATTTATCGATCTAGACAATACTTGTTGATCTTCAGATTTTCTTTTGATAGACACTGTCTCGACATCATTTTTATCCTTAAAATATCTGTTATATAAAACAAACGAGGCGGTAGATGCGACAAACAAAATGCCATATATAATGGCCATTATAACGGCGATACCGTTCACACCAAACAAAAGCCACTCTTGCTTTTCGCCTGGTATTGGTTTTGGTTTCGGACATGATGCATCACAATCAGCACAGGAACATTTCCGATTATCGAAAGGAATGGGCGCTTCATCACAACGATAATGTTTGGCAAGCGAACCAGTTGGCAATTCCTCATTAAATTGAAAATCTATTGCGAACGGTGCAACACCTTTTTTGCCAATATAATTGAAAAATTTTTCTGGCGTACATGTATCGTTTGGCGATTGAAGATTGCACATCATTTGTGGCAAAACTTTTACACCACCGGCTGGCATTGGTACATCTTCACATGATTTATATATTGATTCTGTTAGTGTTTGCCATATTTTATATTTTATTGATTTTACTCCATTAGTCGTAGTATTATGATCGATTAAATCAATAAAATCGCTTTGTTTTGGTGAACAAGTCATCATGAAAAATACACGGGCAAAATTATAATAACACGATGGACATCGTGATAGTAATGTACGTGGTATTTTTAATTGTTTCATAAGTTTTTCTATTTGATTCTCTACACAACAGTATAGATTATTTTCGTTCAATTCAGGTAACATAGTTTGTAGATGCTGATATGATTCGGATGATATGTTCATTGGTCGAGGTGGACCATTATCTACACAAGGAACAGGAAGAAGAAGCCCATATTCATTTATGAATTCATCACATTGGCCACGAAAAACACATCCTGAACTAATCATTGGAATCTATGAAGAACGAATTTGATTCTTTATGAAAATTTGTTTTTTTTCAATAAAATATTACCTGATTGAATATGAAAATTAGAATGAATAATGATATGAATTTCATTCCATCCATTGTGAACATTATTCTTTTGAATTATTCAAAAAGTGATGTTAAAAAATTAATGCAAAATGAAAAACAATGAAAATTTATTTATTTGACACAAACATAATGATATTTGATTTTCTAAATACTAACCTTTTTTCTTATCTATCGCTATATTATTTTGAGGATGATGATCAATGATGATCGAATGTATGATGATAATGTTTAGTTGAAAGCCAATCGACGATTTAATAAATATGTCTATGTTGAGGTATTTTTTTCTTCTTTTTTTTTGTTATTCGATATTAATGTTGTAAATTAAAACAATTTTGATTTTTATTGATCTCAAATTCCAAAGGTTAAATCGTTATGGATTAATATTATTTTCAAATATTATTATACAATAAAATGATGTTGTCAAATTATTTAAAATAAGTGTTTTCCCGTTGACGATCCAGATCAGTTTTCAATCAAGAATGACAAAGAAAAACTTTTTCTGAAAAAAACACAATTTTATTTATCAAAGAATCAGAAACGAACTTAAAAACAAAATTATAAAAATCCTTTTTGAATTTTCTTTTCGTTGATTGACAGATTAAACAGAGAAAAGAAAAAAAATCAACTTGACTACTGCGACATGTGTTGGCATCGAGGTGCTTATTTCAAATGATTTAAAATGATCATGTTGTCGACATCAATTTTACATAAAATCATTAACAACATTTAATTGATCATTTGTTGATAATCTCTTTTTGTCATATCACTATAGTGTTTTAATACCATCGATTTGATCAAGTGATTGGAATTTAAAATTTTGTTTTATTTGTTTCATCACTCATCAGACAAACATCGATATATTTTATGTTTTTTTAATTATTTTTTTAAAAAAAAACATTGCACAATATTTATCGATAATGATGAAATGAGAAAAGAACATTTGTATTACGTACCCATATTTTTATGTACCATAAGATTGTACCAAAATAACAAAAAAAAGAATACAAGTGGTACATTTCAGTTTAAAAATTACGAGTGGAAAATAACAAATTAAATGAATGGAAGCAATATTTTTTAAACAATTAAAAAAACATTACAATCAAAATATTTTTGTTTTTATTTCATCAATCGAAAGAAATAAGTTACTCTTGTTTACAATTAAAAACGTTTACGTTTTAATAATTCCGGTTCCCACTTAATTGGATGTGTATCTTCAGTTGCCATTTCATCTTCTTTATAGATTTTTATAGTTTTATCCGCTTCGCCAGTAATTAAACGTGTAGAACTTTTATCAAAATCAATAGCAAATATTCCGCATTCCGAATCGATTGAACCTGGCTGTGCTTTTGATTGCAATCGTTGAAAATTATATCCAGTACGCCAATCCCAGAAAAACATTGAACCATTATCACCGCCTGATACGAGAACACTATCATCATTGACACCCAGTGCATTTATCATTGAATCATGGCCGTTTAAATTTTGTATGAAACGTCCTTCAGGTAGTGTCCATTGTTTTAATGAATTTATCGATCCTGAACAGAATGTGTTCAAATGAGGATGAGCAACAAGTGCTCGCACACTTTTTTTATGATTAGTTAATGTAGCCATTGTTTTTCCGGCCACAATATCCCATAGACGAATGGTAGAATCATGAGATCCGGTCACAACTTGCGGATCGGTAGCTTGACAAAAAACCGAAGCAACAGTATTCGAATGACCTCCAAGCGAATGAATTTGTGCTTTTGTACGCATATCCCATACACGTGCAACCGAATCACGGCCACCAGTGACCAAAATGTCTAATGTTGGATGTAATGCTAAGCAATAAACGCCGGATAAATGGCCATGATAATGACGAACGACTTTATTATATTCAAGATCCCAACATTTCACCATTTTATCTTCTCCACATGAAAATAAATATGGTTGCCTTGGTGAAACTTCAAGACCACGAACTGGTGATATATGGCCAGTTAATGAAAGTTTTAAAGTACCAGATGCAAGATCCCAAATCTTGATGATACGATCATTTGATCCAGTTGCAAACCATTCATTACCCGGTTCAACGGCTATACAACGTACCCAACCAGTATGACCCGATATAACACGATATAATTTCCATGGAGCATGCCATTCAGGTTTAGGCATTTGTACAGGTTTACGTGGTGCAATAGTTAAACCAGAAGCTAATACAACCTGACCAGATTTCGTAGCATCCACAGGATTTTTATCTCCCTTATTATTATTTGTTGATACTATAGCAACCTGTGATTGATTAGATGGAGCAGGCAATTTTGATTTTAATTCATCGATTGGATTTATTCCTGGATTTGTGACATTTTGATCTTTTAATACTAATGCTTTGGATATTGAATTTTTACTATTCATTTTCTTATTATCATTATCTTTTCGTATCAAACTATTTGGTAGCAATGATAATATTGGTCCATATTGATCACGTGCTTTAATATTATGTCGAAAACTTAACATGTCTTGATCGAATGGTGGTAAAATATTCATATCACTGATGAACATTTCATGTGTCCGTTTAAGCATACGAAATACTAATGTATGGCGAGTATGCTTTGGGATGGTTTCATCCAATATTTGTTCTTCGTCATTATCATTCGTTTGTTGTTGATTAGCTATTTGTTCTTGAGATGATGATGATTGTTTCGTTTGTAAAGGTGTCGATGTTGACGGTCCACGAATAGAAGGTCGATGAGGTGTAGCCACATGTTGATGACGGGTTCTGACTGGCGTAGTTTGAATAGAATCCATTGAATAGATAGACAAAAGTGATCAAGTGATCAATCTTAAAATTAATTTAGATTTGTATCAAAAATCATGCATGTGCATTCAAAAAATCAAAACAAAAAAAATCGATGCCAAAAAACGGATTGCTATTGAGGCCATTCGCAAAGAACGTGTCATTTTTTTAATGAAAAAAATTGTATCAATTCTAAATCCTAACCAGATTTATAAATTTAAATCCTATGTTAATTAATGTTTATCTATATATTTATCGTTTTACAATCTAGACTTGTTATTGTTTCTTGAAAATTATAATTTTTATCTTGAATAGGATAATGAGATTAATTAAAATTGGATTCATTATTGTAAAATTTTTTCCATTAATTGATCGGGATTTATCACACCATGTTCGGTGATAATGCCACCGGTTATCAATTCAGCCGGTGTTATATCGAATGCTGGATTCCAACACGTCATTTCGGCCGGTGCAATTTGAATCGAACAAATCGATTTCATTTCAAGGTCAGATCTTTCTTCTATCGGAATTTTCGATCCATCATTAATGCTTAAATCGATTGTAGACATTGGTGATGCTACATAAAATGGTATAGAAAAATGTTTAGCCAATATGGCTATCTGATATGTACCAATCTTATTGGCAGTATCTCCATTTGCTACTACACGATCAGCGCCAACAATAATGGCGTCAATTTTTTTTGATGCCATTAGCCAAGCAACCATATTATCACAAATTAATGTTGATGGAATATTATCGGTCAATAATTCCCATGCAGTTAAACGAGAACCTTGATTATATGGCCTTGTTTCTGTACAGTATGCTCGTTCTAGTAATCCATTAGAATGTAATTGTCTTATCACGCCTAATGCTGTGCCGTAGCCGGCTGTTGCTAGGCTGCCTGTATTACAATGAGTAAGAATGTTGAATCGACATCTTTCATCAGAATTCTTGCGTATATGATCGCAGCCATGTTCGCCGATTTTTCTGTTTATCATTCGATCTTTTTCCATAATTCCATGACAATATTTTCGAATCGAATCGATCAATAAATCAAAGGAAAGGTTGGTCTCATTTTTTTGTTTTTGTTGAATAAAATTTAACAGTTCATTAAATTCTTTTCGTATGTTGACGGCTGTAGGACGCGATTGACAAAGGTATTCAGCTTTTTGTTTAATAAATTCATATAATCGATCCGGTTGTCGATCAAATTGATTCAATATATCATTTTTGGATAATTCAACCGAAACACCCAATAAGCCAATGATGGCAATAGCCGGTGCGCCACGTATTTTCATCTGATGTATCGCATTCCAAGCATCATTAACACCATCAATATGTTCATATGAAACTTTTGTGGGCAATAAAAGTTGATTCAGAATAAAGATCTGATCATCTTTCACAATAATTGATTCGGCAACCATTGTCATTGAAATTGAAATAAGCAAATAACAAAAGTGCTTGAGTCATTGAAACTCTTATGTTGATGATGATGATAAGAGTTTTTTCAATAAGATTTCTTCTAATCATTAATTAAATCAAACGCATGTACATAATATATGAAGGGTATTGCAAAAAAAACGGAAATAAACCGATTAAAATAAGTTTTATTGATCAAATGAATTATTTTCAACAACAACAAAAAAAATGAAATTTATTATCCGAATAAAGCAAAAATTTTCAATTTTATACATAATTTAATTATAATTATTTTTTTTAATTAGTACAATAATCAAAACAAAACAAAAATTAACAAATAAATTGGACATTATTATCTATAACAATGCCAGCAACAACAAAAAAATATTTTCAATCTGATTTGACAATTTTTAATTATGAATGATAACAATTTTTCAATTGATTTTGGCTTCAATGGCAAATATGGTTGAAGATCTTTTGTTGTTGTAAAAAACATGATTGAATCACTATTAGAATGATCGATTGATTGAATGAATAGAAAAATCGATAAAAAAAAGATAAATTAATTAATGTCTAAAATGATACTGAACAAAAATATATACCGAATATATATTGATTCCAGATGATTCAAGCTCCATGAATGATGATGAAGGCAATTGTTTTGACGAGGATGATTATGACGTCGATGTAGGAATTGACGTTGTTGCCGTGGTTGTAGTATCCATCGAATTCCATTTATATCTTCATTAGATTCATAATAACAAAAGAATTTGTATAAGAAAGAAAAAGAAAATCGAAATTGAATTAAACAATAAGAAAGAAAGAAAGAAAGAAAACAAGATCAATAAAGAATGGTATTTCAATTAAATCAAATTTTGAATAAAATTTGCTACAATTTTCCGTTAATATAAAATGAATGTTTTTTTTGCCCAAATCATTGAAAAATTTAATTATGATTTATAATAAGACAATTCTAATAAAATTTTTATCAATAATTATTATTAGTAATGTGGCAATTATTTTTATTCAATGTAATAATGATGATTACAAATTATTGTTAATTTCATTTGATGGTCTAGGTCATCAGTTTCTAAAGCCCGATCTTACACCGAATCTATATCGACTGAGTAAATTTGGTACCACCGGTCATATGCTTCCAACATTTTCCACGAAAACATTACCAAATCATCATTCAATTTCAACAGGATTATATCAGAATAAACATGGTATCATACATAATCAAATGTTTGATGACATATACAATGAACATTTTGTTGATGGTAATGGTAAGGATGAAAAATGGTGGAATGGTAATCGGATGGCTGTACCATTATATATTGCAAATCAATTAGAAGACAGACGTCGAGCAAGTTGTTGTTCACCATGGATCGGTTGTCATGCTCCTTATCATGGCCGGCGAGCTAAATATTTCATACGATTTAATCAATCATCATGTTATTATGAACAATTCGATTGGACATTAATGAAATTGATAGATAGATCAAATCCAGCAAATTTGGCTCTGATGTACATACATGAACCCGATTCGATTGGACATAAATATGGCCCGTATGGTTGGCAAACCAAACAAAAGGTACGACGAGTGGATCGATTTGTTGGCTTTATTTACAATCGTTTAAAACAATTAAATTTAACTACGAAAATAAATATCATCATTTTATCCGATCATGGTTTGGCCGATGCTCGTCCATATCGATCAATCGTAATGGAATCATTTCTAAATAAAACATGGTATGATGCATACGGGTCAAATCCAGTGTACACATTAAAAGTACGAAAAGGATTTGAAACAGTTGTTCGAAAAATACTCGAACCGTATCGAATAAACAATTGCAAACTAAAACAATCAGCGAAAACATTTTGTGTTTATAGCCAACAACAAATACCCAAACGATATCAATACGATTATAATGGTCGAATATTCGATTATCTATTATTAGCTAATGAAGGATGGAGTGTTTATAAAACGGACAAAGATAAACAGAGATCAAAATCATCATTCGGTCAACATGGATATGATAATCAATTGAACATTATGCGTCCATTATTCATTGCATTTGGTCCATCATTTCGGCAACAATATTATCATCATAATCGTTTTATCAATGTTGATCTATATCCATTGATGTTAAAATTATTGAATATGAGTCCTAATCAATATTATCATCAGGGTAAATGGATAAATGTACGTTCAATGCTAAAACAGCAATATCTTCTGGAAAAAAATAAAAAGAATTCAAACTTAAAATAATCAACTTACTTAAAGGGATTATGGCTATCCGTTCCTTTCGAATTAACGTCTGATGATGATGATGACAATGTGAGTGAAGAATTTTTATGGTTTTGGATTAATTTGGCATCTAAATAAGACAAAGATTTTAAAAACAATAAAAAATAGACCAAACAATTCAAAAAAATGAGGTATAAAGGAAACATAAACTAAATTTATTCAATCTTATAAATTAATGAAAAAAAACAAGATAAATAAAAAATACAAAAATGAAAAAAATGAGAGTCAAAAAAAATCATAGAAAAAAGTCATTGCAAAAAAAACGGATGGGTATTAACATTAATACCATCAATGTTGTTGTTGTTGATATCGATTTGGCTCGATGATTCATAAACATATTGATTGACTTTCTTTGATGATCGTGTTGTTGCATTATTAACCTTATGATATTATATATAAAATTAATGAAAATAAGATTAGAAACCATTAAAAATCCTATTAATTCATTTTTAATATTACCTCTATTTTACGGCCATCAATGATCTGACCATTTAGACAATCACGTGCAGTATCGGCGCTAATACCATTAGCAAATGTAACAAAGCCAAATCCCTTTCATATTTTAATATAGATAAAAATGAAATATTTTACGCTCCATTTGAAATAGAAATCTTACTTTTGAGCCTCGATCATTGAAAATCACTTCAGTGTTCAAAATGTGACCGTATTGCTATGGACAAAATGAGAAATTTTTGATTTTATTCATAGAAAAATTCAAATTACCTCAAATAATTGTTGAAGATCGGTATCACGATAACGGAATGGAATATTGCTGACATGAAGACGTTTTGGTTTCAGTGTTTCCAAATTATTTACAGGCAATGTATTGATTTGGAAATTTTTTATTTTCCAAGCCGAATTCATAGCCGATTGGTTAGGGGCATCTTGACTATTTGATTGTTTCAAATTTTCATTCAAAAGTGATGTACTTGATTTAGGTGAGCTAGAAAAAACGGAAAAATTAGAACATAAACCAGACGATGGTGTAGCGCATCGGGATGAAATATCCGATATATCGTTAAAATTAGCCATATGATTGTTTGCGGATAAATCAAATGATGAAGAAAAATTTTCAAATGATTCATTATTCAATGAATTCATGGTTGATGATGAATTATAAAAAACATCATTATCAAGTGAATCAATGGCAAAATTAGAGTTTTGATTTTCAAATTTAGGTAAAATTGACGAATAAAATGGTAATGTTGAATCAGCACCAAAATCACAATGACTTCCGGTGCTATTGAATCGAGCAATTTTGCATGGTTTTTGACCCATCGAATAATCATTATAACCATTGACAAATTTCTGTATAAAAGAATAAAAAAATGGAAATTTTTAACAATGAAATTAAGGAAAAGGGAAAAACTTTGGTAGTACCCAAATTTCCTGATTCAATTCACGCCATTCTTCATTAATTGAACGTTTTAATAGTTCAACGGAGGTCAATTTTCGTCGTCCATCATCGGATGGAGAAAATTGAACAAATGGTTGGAGACAACCATCTTCATTAATTGGTACAAAAATTTTTCGTACTTGATCAGTCGATTTATATGACCATAAATATTCTCGACTTAATTGATAATGAATAGCTGGGCAATAAACAAATTCATATAAAAAAGAATCTAAAGAATTTCCAAATCGTGGAAATGGTTTTGATTCTACTTTTGTTGGAGAAAATCTAGTATATGAATACTTAATCGGTTTAAGTGATTGTAATGGTTGATTTAAATAATTCATGATTGAATGAATTTTATGTAAAAAAAATCTCAGGATAATTCTCAAAACAAAAATAAAGAAAAAATTGATTAATAAACTTGAAAAGAGCGGAAACAATGACCAAAATCAGAAACTCAAAAAACAAAATCTTCACCACCTAAAAAAATTTGATTATCGACTATGATACTGATGATGGTGTTGATAATGATTATATAAAATGAGCAACAATTCAAACTTTTTATCTTGTTTATAAATAAATCAGAAAAATTTCTTTTGTCTATAAAAAAAATTGATCAAAAATGTGAATAAAATAATAATTTAGCCTTCAATATGGCTTGTTGCGCACCAACAAATCCAAGGAAAAAAATCGGTGAACAAAGGAAGATACGATGTATGGAAGAAAAATAAATGTGATTAGAAACATTCGAATCAAAATTGAATTCGAATTCTCTTTTTTTTTGTCCAAAGCAGCACCCCCTCAGAAATCAACCACCAAAAAAAAAAACATACAGACAGAGAAAAATTTTCATCAAAATCGAACGGCACAACAACGAAACAACAAGTATC